AGCCATCGGTTCAAACCGCTCCTCGTGATCTCGCCTCTTCATCCTCTCGACCGTCCACATTGATTCATCTATCTTGTCCTTCGCCCATTGTTCCTACCATCATCACCCACCATCGACCTCGTGATCCCTTGTGGGCGTCTCTCTTTCTCCTCCTGATACCATACCATACCCTTATAACCTGTACATCACGCCAGAAGCATCTCGATTCCCATCTCATTTGTTCGCATACCGCCCTCGCTCGATACGATCAGCTAAACACCTATCGCCAACTCGCCCCGCCAACCAATTTAGCTGCTGCGTGCTGTCATCATCAGCGCCACTGCCTATCTATTGTTCAAAAGCAGCTCATACACTGGTCATTCCTTGCCGCCGACTGCCCTGCCCGCCCCAAACACTTTACCCGCGGCTCCAGGGTAGACCACAGCTCACTTATAAGAGCCACGCGTCAGACCCCAGAGATCTCTTCGTTCCATTCAAGAGCTCCTGCCGATCCGCATACATCTATCGTCGGACGAAATCATCATCACGACCGGGTCGATTCAGCACTGCCGCAACTCTCACAGTCCACCGTCTCGCGCGCGTCACCTTCTGCAGCTAGTTCCCCGCTCTCGTCCTTTCAAGATCGACCGTCTCGACGCTCGTACTCGGCTGCCCATGATGTCCCATCAACCGATGCCGTCGGCGTACGGCTCTGCATCTTTCCCCTCAAGCTCCCTCTACGGCAACGCTCCAAGGGGCGTCAAGGACTACGAGTCCGACGTGTCGGCCCAGCAAGCCGTGCCGCGTGGACCCTGGGACCACTCCGCCTCGGGCTCTTATGGTCATCGTCATGGTCCAGGCCAACATGACAGGGCCGCTTCGTATGCACCCTTCGAACCACGTCACCCCTCCGACGTGGACACCTATCGCGGATCGGCCCCTCACCCTTCGCATGGAGGACAACACCAGCACATGCATCATCATCCCTATGGCAACCCTCATGCCGCCGCTCCGATGTACACTTCGCCCTCTTCACAGGCCGACATGCACCACAGGCACGTATCGCGAGCCGCCTGCCTCTCTTGTCGTTCCGCAAAGCGCAAGTGCGACGGCGTCAAGCCCATCTGCGGGCCTTGCGCGCTGCGTGGCGTAAAGGACGGCGTTCCTCAGGATGACGGCGGCTGTGTTTACGTCGCGAGCAAACGCGGTGGCCCGCGATTCAAAGGCATCAAGGGCGCTGAGGCTACCAAGCGCAAGCTCGATGAACGCGAGAAGGGTGGCAAGGTCAGGGGCGGCAGAGACTCCAACGGTCACGAAGACTCGACCTCGCTTTCCCCGACCGACCACGATTCTCACCATCACACCTCTGCAGGCTCGACACCCCTCGATGCAAGCAGTGTGCAACCTCATTCAGCCTTCCACGCACTCGACGGAGCAACGCTGCCTCTGTCCAATCTCGATCTCTCCAGAACCGGTCCCGACATGCTCGGCGCCTCGGCCGTCTCCTCGAGGCCTGGTCTGACCGCAGAACAGTCGACGGATGCGTTCAACTTCGAACGCGAGAGAAATGCCCTCACCACGCGCAACTTGTTCCGACCCGACGCAACTGTCGGCGGCGGTCTCTTTGATGACCTTTCGGCTACCAACTTCGAGATGCTTCAGAAGCTGTCGGCCAACCAAGCTTCCGTCGGCCTCTCGCTCGCGAGCTTCTACCACAAACTTGAGGAGCTCCCCAAGGCCGGCGTTCTCGGCGCATCCATCGTCGACGAGTTTGGCAGCATCGACGTCGACATGCCTCAGGCTCTTCTGGAGATTGAGACCGCCAGCAAGTCGAGCGTAGCTGTCAATTCGGAGCAGCAGGCGCGTGCTTTGCTGCAGGACTTCTACGAGCTCGTTTACCCGGCATGCCCTGTCATGCTGCCGTCGGGCCACCTTTCGTCGCTCGCATTCCACTTGTCCGAGGACGAGTCTTCGGCGCTGCTCGCAGCCACATCCGCCTGCGTCGCTCTGCAGCTCCCGCAGAGCGAGGCCAGACGCATCGTCAAGGGCAGTCTTCTGTTCCACGACCCGGACGACCACGAGACCAAAGCCGAGTTACTCGACCTTGAGCATGCCTCGCGCGAGGAGATTGCCGCCTATCACGCCAAGTCGGCCGAGAAGCTCCTTCTCAAGAAGGTGGCGCTCTTGGCACGCGCGTCCTCCTTCCCGTCCGAGGCGGCCAAGGCGATGGAAGCCACCAAGTTCCTGCCCAACAGCCGCGGTGCTGGAGCCGGCGATCTCGAGTTGACCCGAATCAAGCTCGTTGCCACGCACACCCTCCTCGCGCACTACCACTATGGCACCTCGAACAGCCGACGTGCGTTCCACCACGCCTCGCAGGCCTGGAACCACGCCCAAGCGCTCAACCTCGACTCAGGCGAGGCGGTCTCGTCAGCACCATCGTGGTTCAGCCACACGCAAAAGTGCGAATGGGCGCGACGCGCCTACTGGACCTGCTACACCGCTGCAACGGTCATGTCGTGCACGGGCGGTTTCAAGCCCCTCACCGTGACCCGCGATATGCCTTCCGATCTCGGCCTGCTTCCCAATCTGCGCGACGATCGATCCAGCTGGAAAGTCCTCGTGCGCGGTGCCCAGTTCGTCTCCCGCTCCTACGCAGCCCTCTACGACCTCGACTCGTACAAAAACCGACCGGAGAACAAGATCGCCGACCCGGCCAACCAGTCTCGTGACAGACGCCGCAGGTGGGAAGTGATCTTCGAACGCATGCAAAAGGTCGACGCGGACGTGATGCAGTACGCCCGCTCGGACCCGGTGTGGAGCGACGAGAGCTGCTTTGAGCCGAGCGTGGGGCTCTCGCGCCGCACGGTGGAGTTCGAGGAGGAGAACGAAGTTCGCTTGAGCCGCAGTCTGCGCATTGCAGGCAAGCTTATGACGAGTGGAGCGTTGATCATTCTGCATAGGGCGCAGGCGTTTGCGAATGCACGAATCTTTGTGGCTCCGACGTGCGGCATTCCCGGTGCCTGCGAGGACAACAGCGATACGGCGTCGGATGCGGGTAGTCGCCGGGGCGGACCGGATCGGCTGTGGCATAGGGAGGCGGAGGGGCTGCCGCCTTCCGGCAAGGCGACGGCGACGCAAAATGACGAGCTGGGCAGCAGCATGGAAGCGGCCCCCGTCACATCGTCGAGGGCGATGCGATCGCGCAGCGCCAGCAGCATGTCGTCCAGCGGCGCAGGGAGCGTCTCCAAGAGCCTGGTCAGTTCTTCGTCCTCCTCCATGGGTCCTCCCTCGGTAACATTCACCGCGTGCGGCATCCCGGCCAAGTTCAACGGCGGACCCTTCGAACCGTCCGACTCGCTCGACCGCTGTCGCTTCGCGGCAAGCGTCATGTATCAGCAGTTGGCGCACATCAACAAGTCCACCTTCCGCCTCGGTCGTCGCGAATCGATGGCCACGCTGCCCGTCGAAACGCACGGTCGGGAGAATCGCGACCAGTGGTCCGCCCCGTCCCTACCCCCTTTCTCGGCATGCTCGCTCGTCCTCGCCGCCTACGTCCTGCTCATGGAAACCCTCCACGCCCAGATCGCCGCCGGACTCGAGGACAATCTCGACTTTACAAACACCGACGTCCTCGACGACAACGAGCTGTACCAGCTTTCGCCCATCCTCCAGCCGGACCCGCATCGCACCGCCCAGATCCCCCAGCTCGCCGGTCGCCAGGCTTACGTCCTCGCCATCAAGCTCCGCAGCTGTATCCTGCAGATCGAGTCGGCGTTGGAGAAGTTTAGTCGCGCATGGGAGATCGCCAAGGGCTACGCGCAGGAGGTGCGGTTGTTGTTGGAGGTCAATCAGAGCTTGTTCACCGGCAGCGTGCAGGTCACGAACTGAAGGGGTTGCACACACACACAGTTTTGTCCTTGTTGATTGACCATTTGCATGCAGTCAATTCTTCACCGCTTTCAATTGTGCCCGTCCTTGCTGTCAGATGTGTTGAGATGCGCCTTCGTGATGCTCCACCGAACCTTGAAGGCTGTCGTGGTGCTTCGTGTCGCAGCCCGCCTTGTGTTCTTCGCGGGATCAAGCTCACAGAAGTACGCTCGGTTTGGCATTGTCGGGCGTCTTGCTGCCTCTCAGGTCGCGCGAGCGCTCAACTCACCGCCGAGAGTGGTTCGACCTGGCCATCATCCCCTCCTTGTCATGACCTCGTCGCCATGCGAGAGTTCGCATGACGATCCAAACTCAAACACTGGCCCACATCACACAGAGGAAGAAATGCTGAAACAATCTTTCGTACAACACGTCTGAAGTCGGCGATTAGGTAGGGTACAGAAAATCGATAGATGGTATCATGAGACGGGGAGCATGAGAAGTCTTTGAGAGACTAACTCTAAGCAACGACGCGGATGTGACCGTGCGGGCCAGGTCGAAATCCGGCTTGATTCGAGAGAAGCGGGTTTTTTGGGGTGCTGACACGCTTAGTCTCGGCGGGAGAGCTCGATGACGGGCAAGGTGAAGAAGCTGGTGTCGGGAGTGAGCAAACCAGCGGCACCGACGTACCAAGCAATAGCGGCAGTGAGGATACCGAAAGCGCCGCCGGCGGTTTGGATCATGGCCTTGCCGGTGAACTCGGCGATGAACAGCAGCAAGAAGGTGATGTCGAGGAAGAAGAAGAGCGAAACCAGACCGACCGAGGAGCGGAACGAGGCGAGGAGCATGATAAAAGTAAAAATGAACCAGGCGGCGAGGTAGATGCCGAGGGCGTTTGCGACCTGGGCCTCGGGCACACCGGAAGGGTTGTAGTTGCCCTCCACCACGCCGAACCAGGGGATCTGGATGATGGCGTACGACCACCAGAAGGCACCGTACGAGGCAAACGCAGTAGCACCGAAGGTGTTACCCGCTGCGAACTCCCACATGCCCGCAAGGAACTGAGCGATACCACCGTATCCGATGGCCATACCAACGACGACATTGGGAACGGTCACACCGCGCGCCTTGACGTTGTACATCGACAGGATGAAGGTCGTCGCGGCGAAACCGAACAGACCGAGAGGGGCAGGGTTGGCAAACTTGCGGTGGTAGACGGGGAAGGCGGGCTGCGAGCTGTCCTGAGGGTGTCCACCGGGCGTGAGAGCTCGCATGGGCTGAGCACCACCCTGGTAGCCGTTCTCTTGGTTCTTGATCTCGGACATGTTTGGTGATAAGATGTAGGCGAGAGAGGGAGGGGAGGTAGTGACGACAGATGAAGCAGTTGTGGGGGAAACGGTGAAGAGAACGGCGACCTGGATGCCTTTATGTACTCTTTCGGTGACAGAAGCACACTTATTCACGATCCATGACAAAAGAACGCTCAAAGTGCACGAACGCACACTTGACACTCGGACCTTGCGGGGGAACTGGGGGCTCGAGCTCAGCGACTCGCATCCGATCCAGTACAGGCCAGAAGGCGAGATGGGCTGAGATCGACTCGACGTAAAACGCCTCCAATGCGTCACAATCTAGGGCTTGGCCTTTCGCCCTTTGGGAAACGTCGGCGTCTCCTGACCTGCAAAAAGTTGACCGTTGCGGTCACAACAGAGGCTGGCCGTCAGGACAGTCAATTTTTCTCGTAGAGCGGCGATCCCGGTGTCTGTGCAGTGTGTGCTCAAATGCACCTGAGTGGCTTGCTCAGACGTCAACTCCACTTTTAGATTTTTATAAACTTTTTTTTTTTCATTTTTCCCCACTCTGTCAGCTTGGCGCTACAGGCTCGGCTAGGCTATCCCTATGACTAGTCAAATGCGCTTGGACTCGACGCTTTGCGCGACCGACCCCGCTTGGATCGATCGACCGCACAGCTGAGAAGCACTCTAGCCTCCCTGTCCAATCATCGTACGAGCAATGAAGGCAGCGACGCTGTGCTCTTGCAGTGCCGCGGCGAGCAAGAGACAGTCATTGCCTCCCTCCCTCACGGCAGCGATCCGACGCTGATAGGAGGGTCCGATGCCTTGTTCCCACGCTGGTGAAATCGAGCTATCGACTTTCGGTGGCCTTCCGAGCTTTCGATAGAGCAAACACTGTGGGTGAGTTGACAAGCGTAGAGCACAGAGTCACGCGCCTCTCATCAAGCGCCACGAAAATGGGAGGTTGCAGCGGCCCGCGTTTGAGCCACAATGGAGGACGCGCGACATGAAGCCCCCGACAAGAGCCAGGAGCTGAGCTGGCAGCCTAGATGGCACTTGCGCTACCAACACCGCGATACCCGCAGCGGCATGTTGCCACTTGAATGAGAAGGATCAGCAGTAAACACACGAAAAGCAGCAAGATCTAGCCTGCATATTTTCTCCGCGCGATCCGTATGCGTGCCTTGCAAGTCAAAGAATTTCCATGCTTCGAGCGAAATCCTGCATGGCAGCAAACACAACTCAATTCTGATGGTTGGGACAGCAAGCTCGAGCCAGTTGTCCCGCCGGGCTAGGCCATTTGTTCGGCATGGGTCTTCGAGAGGAGATGCAAACTTGTAAGCGCGCAACCAATAGCTTGTCTCTATGCAGCTTGAAGGCCGGCGCCAGCAGCGATGTTTTTGAGACCGCGAGCTGGTTCGCCGGTGTTGCCATATGCTGGTCAACCCCCCAGTGTTTGGCTTCATTCTCGCCTATCCCCCTGGTATGCATGCCGAGCACGTAAATCTGCCTGCTGGTACATCTCTCTATCGCTTTCATCTCGCATTGCGTGACAAGCAGACAGTGCATAGTGCGCGCGGACGGCTCGCTGTTCACTCGACGTCTGCTTTTCGTCGTGTTGATGGCGAGCGAGCGAGAAAGTGAGTCGCCTGTTGAATTACTTTTTCGAAATTTTTGCTGCCGCTTTTCCTGCAGGTTTTCGACATCCGCACCCGCGGCACGGAACATTTGGCCCATTATTCTGGCAGCAGAGCACCAACGTCATCCTCTCGTCGGAGCTTCAATCGAGGCCCAATTTGCTTCGGCAGCAGAGCAGCAGTGATTGCAGCGTGGCCGCCATCTCCGCTTTTCTCCCCGCGAACCAGCGCGCGATCTGTCCTCGCATTCGACGCTAGCTACCCAGTCGGCTTGATTCGAGACCAGCCTGCACGTTAAAGCCGCCACCCCTCTTTGAACATGCTTCCATTTGTCTGCGCGCGAATTGGGCGGGTCGCCGATACACAGTCCCCGCGTCTGCTCGAGCAAATAGAACGACTGTTGAACAATAGGAAAGATCGACCGAAAGCAGCTTTGAAGAGCGGGGCTCCAGCACCCAGACCAAAGTGTTTGCATTGCCGAGGGATCGCCTTTTGAGAATCCAAGCTTGCGGGTGCTCTGCTTGCCGTGCGATATCTGCCTCCTCCGTCATGTCGATCTCGCCAATGCGCACAAGCGAGGGCGTCCGCTGCTCATACACCGCTGTAAAATTAGAAGACTCCGCAGTGCCAAGCCTCCAACATGACGGATGTCAAGACCTCGTCCTGGGGATCCGAGCATGATCACTCAGACAAGCCAAGGCAAAGTGGCGTCGGGATATGTTTCCGAACAGCCTGTTCCCCAGATCGAAAGCCTTCTTGATTCCACACTGTCGGTTTTCCAAATCAATGAGCGTGCTTGGTCTGCCTTTGCCGAAAGTCGGTGGTGAGGTTTCCCCGGATCGGCGTCCAACCGTGTGCGTGTCTCGCCTTTGCATCAGCTTGTGCTCTGTCCTTCTCATGCTAATTGGAAAAGATCTCTCTTCGGCTTTGGTCGATCGCTATCTCCGACTCGATCGCGTTGCGTGATCCTGTACAACTATCGTGGGGAAAGCCGCATCGCCATGCCACGCGCGTCAAGACTGCATCCCCAATCGCAGCCCGATCGGTCGGCATCTCATCAACAGAGGAAGAGACATTTCAAACATGGCATAGCAAGGTCACTATATCGCCAATTGTCCGTGGAAAGGATGCTTTGATATCATACATGTTCGAGTTGCGTGCACCTTCACTTGTCCCAGGCCACGCGACCTCCGCCAAAGATGTAAGGATAGGCTGTCTGGTAGTAGTTGACAACCGTACGTCGACCAGCGATTGAAGGCGACGTGGCATAACTGCCTCCGACCACCACACTGTGCTTGCCGTCAAAGAAGTCCGAGCTGTAGCCAGGGTACAGGGCCGACGACTGGAATCCATCGTACGCTAGGAAAGGAGTGCTTGTCCACTCCCACACACCGCCATTGTGTCCAGGCAACAGCGTGCCATCCGAGTCGTATCGCGGCAAAGAAGCTGGCACCGGATGCCAGTTGCGGAAGCCGACGTTGGCAGAGGGTGCTGCCTGACCCTGAGTCGGGTTCACGGAGCTTCGGCGCCTCGATGGCTGCGCGTTCTGCTCGCCTTCATTAACGGTGCCGGGTCCATGCATCGAGATTCCTGGCGGGTGAATCTCGGTCTTGAGCACGCGCCGAGACTTGTTCTGCGGCTTGGGGGCGTTGGTGTTCTCCGTTACGTAGAAGCGGCGCAGCATCATGATCGCCTCGTCGCGAAGGTAGCCACCCACCGACTCGTAGCCGGGCGAGCTCACAATCGCATCGTCGTCGTGCAGGCCCAGTACGCTTCCATTCCCTCCAAAACGCTCGTTGCCGGCGCCAAAAACGACACGACCGATACCGATCTGTCTCAGTGCTGCACCGCACATGATACAAGGCTCGATGGTGACATAAAGAGTCGTGTCTTTGAATGGGTTGTCTCCCTCTGGGCCAGAATGAGGAGCGACCGCAAAGTTCGGGTCGGAAGGTGGCATGATGGACAGAATGTGGTCGATCGCTTCCAGCTCGGCATGTCGAGTCGCATTGAGGAGCTCGTTCGTGCGGTTGCGTCCGCGAGCGATCACCTCACCCTTGCGAACGAAGACACCTCCGACGGGCACCTCGTTGGCGTCCAGCGCCTCCTGCGCCATTGCGAGCGCTTCTTGCATCCACTTCAGATCTTCCTGCGACTGCTCATCGCGCGGCACATATCGGACGGCCGACCCGCGAATCGGAGGGGCTTGCTTGCCTGGAGGATCGATGTCGTTCGCCGACGACTCTGACTTCGCCGCATCTTGATGGAAAGGAGGCACCGTGAGGTCGAGCACCAACGCCTCGGGTGGCGCGTCCATGAGCATGCGGAGCTCCGCGTGCGACGGCAATCGACCCCCCTTCCAGGCAGCGAATGCTGCGAGCTGCTTGCCCGAAGCTTGAACAGGCCAGTGTTGGGCCACGTCCATGTCGACAGGGCCATAGAATGTACGCACTGAGTGGCCGCCTTCGCTGCCGCTCTTGATCCACGAGGAGGGGATGTCAGTGCTGTTGGTGGCTTTGAGGAAGTCACGGTACTGGGCGTTCGAGATGGGCAGCGCCGAGATCGAGAATGCTTTCGTCTCGACCCTTCGTCGGGGGTGCTCGTTGTCCCAGCCAAATTCGGGCTGACCAAGCTGTAGATTCAGATCACGGACATCGCTGGTCGGACGTGTTGCCACGATGTCGAAGTCCTGAGTGTCGTCGTCGTCGTGGCCGAGCAAGATGGACGAGGCCTCGAAATGGAAGCGCTGCTCCTGAGCTTGTCGGCCGCCAACCTTCTCGTGTTCGGCTTGCCATCGTTTGGAGAGCGAGGCCCAATCGGGTGGGGTGAATCCGACCGGTGGCTTCGTATTTGGAGATTGCATCAGCATGTAGAGAAGCGTCTCGAGGTGAAGGCTGATGTGCTCGAGCGTCATCCACAGCATCCTTGCGAGTCTGCGATCGAGGACCAAGTCTCCAGAAGCGACGTCTTCATATATCTTCTCGACTCGAGCCTGGACGGCTTGCTGGTAGGTGAGAATTTCGTCCAGCGTGGGCCAGTCTTCTTCGTTGGTGGGCACCTCGCTGTGCGGGTTGCACTGTGTGATGTCGTCCATGTGAGGGTCGATGCCGCGCTCAAAGATGGCAGAGAAGCGGTCGTTGGTGTGCGGCTGCTTCAGGTACGTCGCTACGTGGATGTCGAGGAAAGCCGGGATGTGTCCGAGGTAGAACAAGCAAATGTGACGCAGGTCGATGGGCTTCTCGTGCAGCTTCTCTTTGGGGATCATGGTCAGAGTGACGCAATTCCAAGCGTCCCAGTGTGTCTTCCAGTCCTGCAGGCTGGGCAGACCGACCGGAGCGGCCCTCTGGGCCAGCTCATCCAGATTGCTGCCTCCCCAGCCGTCGTCAATCTTGGCGGAATCGTGGCTTTGGCTCGTGCCCTGAGGTGCAGGCTGCTGCGACGTGATAAATGCCTCATTGGCTGCTGCCGAGTTGGAAAAGTGAAAGGAGGGCTTCTCTACGAGCCAAATGTCGTACCGATCCGACTTGTCGCTCCAGCGTTGGACAACGCGAAGGCCCGCGTAGTCAAAGAGGTTGAGCGTCTCGCGCTCGCTGAACTTGTAGCTGGCTTCCATGTGGATGAGTTCGCCTTCCTGGATTGGAATAGGTTCCTTGAGCCCCGGCACTCGGATCTCGTGCGCCTCTTTGGCGCGATAGTACGACTCGTGACGCCCCTCACGCGCATTGTAGCGATCAAAGTACTCGAACTTGCGACCGTCGATGGCGTTACCTCCGAGCGCTCGATCTGCGTGATTGAGTCCGTTCATAATGAAGTCCCGCGTAAGGCCAGCGGGGTCATTGTAGGCCAGCGCCACTTCGGCGGGCTTGTTGCGGCGGTCGATGGAGATGAGCATCGTGTCGCCAGCACGCATACTTTGGCGTGCGGTCTTCGCCAGGAACTCGGCCGCCGCCTTTCGATCAAAGTTACCGATGCTCGAGCCGAGCCAGAGGAGGCATCTCTGACCTTCTTTCTGAGCGCCAGCCGCTGTCGAGGCGGCCTTGAGTCCACCTTCTCCGATAAAGTCGAGTCCGGCGTCATAGGTTGCCCACAGTCCGTTGATGCCGACCTTGCCTCCATGAATAGTCCAAGCATCTTCATCACCGTCGGTGGCTTCTTGCTTTCGCAGGTCGCGCAAAGTGCGCTCGAGTTCAGCCTTGTCGAGGTCGAGAGCATAATAGTGTACGCTCGGTCCTCCTGTCGACGTGGCTGGAAGAAGCTTGAGCGCACGCAGAAGATGAATCGTTTTCTTGAGCGAGCCTGCACCGAGCTCGACCAAAGATCCTGCGCCGACGGCTCGCTCGCCGTCGAGACCTTCTTCTGCGTTGACGCCTCCGTTGAATCTACCGACGTCGCTGTCGCCCCACCTCTCCTTCGTGGACGCGGCTGTGTCCCTCTGAGGGGGCAGGTTGTCGTGTTTAGGAGCCTCTTTCTGTTCGCGATGCGGGCCTTCGAGATGAGCTGCAGCGGTAGCAGACAGGTCATTGGTAGTCGCAGTGGAGTGTCCAAAAATCCTCAGCGCGATCTCTGGGCCGTGGTCTTTGAGGATCTGTAACTCTGCATTGTAGAGGTAGTACTCGGGAGCTGCGGTGAGCTTGTCGTACAGGATGAGACCCTGTTCGTCGTACAGGATGGTGGTGGGTAACGTTTTTCGGTAAGCAAATTTGAGGTCTTGCGAGTCGCCTTGCTTGCCTGGAATGACGAGCTGCTTGGCTTGTAGCCCCGAGATGATCTCTCGTCGCAGCTGATCATCTGCCGAGCTGGTATTGAGGCTGTCGGCGCTGCCGGAATAGAGATCGATGACGGGCGCGGTGTGGAGCCTCGCGCCCGCGCCCGCGGAAGCTGTGTTCATCGTCTTTGGGTTACTTTTACTGTGCAAGACGGGATCGGCATCCACCAGAGGAGCCGCTACAGCAGATGGAGCCATTGCGGAATTGGACTGGGGCGAGAGCTGATGGGGTCGGGAGGTGACCGCGTGTTTGTCTCGAACAGACGCTGTCGTGGTTATGATGGTGAAGGTGGCGGTGGTGCTGATGGTGGCGTCAGCAAGGTGGTGGAGTAACAGAAGGGGACGGAGGCGCACTTGTGCCAAACCTGCCGAAGTTATATGAGCATCGGTTCAAGTCAATGCGTCCGATGTCAAAGACCCTGGAAGCAACGCAAACAACTCAGCCTCAGGCAGGGTCCACGGGTTTTCCGCTTGGCTTCGTTGGCTGACGGGCCGTCACAGGTCACACACGGCGTGCTTGCTGCCCAACTCAGCGAATGACTGGCTGATTGTGACTGCGAGCGCAGGCAACGAGGTAGGCATGGTCAGGATCGGCGAGTCCGTGCACTTGATCGTCGCCCACAGCTTGCAGATGAGAGAGAAGGTTCGAACATCGAGGAGAGAGAGGGTTCGAGCATCGAGGCGCAGACGCTCTGCTCTTTCCTCCACCTCGTTAGGCACCAGAGCACAGAGAAGAGGAAACGGCGGACAAATAAATCGTGAATAATAAGAGGGTCATGCGGTCTGCCAACCCGTGAGGCGCGGAACGTGACGAAACCGGAAGCGCCGACTGACGTCTGCCCCGCTCCCCGAACGCATGGCGTTGAGCGAAGTCTTCTCGAAGCGTGCCACGTCGCTATCGAGCCGATGAGTGAGCAGGGCGTGGGAAACAAGCGCCACCAAACCCAACAATCACATTGCAGCAGCTTTTCAGGGGCCTGGAGCGGAGAAGCGGGTCAACCGTGGAAGCCGAAAAGCTTTCGCTGACTGTAATCGGCTTTTCCCCGAAATGCCCGTATGGCCAAGATGGTCAAGCCAGCGCCTTCTGTGAGGGTCTTGAGGCCGCGGGTTCTCATCAGTCTCACCGCCTTCGGAACGTCCGCCTTTGTTGCATTAGCTCGACGATCGGCCATCTCCGGACGATGCCGGAAGAAGTGAGATTGGGGATCATACACGGCGCAGCGATTGTCGAGTAGTGTGGATACGGAGGTCGGCAGCTGGCAGGTAGACGTGTAGAGACCACCTATTCCCGAGCACCAAAGCTTCGATCAAGTCGACGGCTCCCTCAGTGCCAACGCTGATCGGCGATGAGTAGGTTTGAACAGCACCTGGATGAAGTGGGAGCCGACTTCGGCCACAGCTACGAGTCGAGGTATGAGGAGGGCCTTGGCCCATGGTGGCGTCATCCTTGATTTCGAACATTCAACTCCCTAGGTTTCGCCTCAAATCAACCGAACATCCGGACAGTCACAATGCACGTCGACTATGGATCTTCTGGCGTAAACAGACTTGTTTTGGGTTTAGAGCTTTGCGTTTTGGTAGAGTGTACAGGATGAAGCGATGGCGGGGCTGCCGTCATCACTTCAGTATCGAGAATGAGGTGGAAGCCATCGGACGGAGCAACGCAAGCTCGCAACGTTGGCCCGACAGCGCTGGTGAAAAAGAATGCGTAGCTGGCCGCGGCGGTCCTGTCTGCGTAGAACCGTCGGAACTGAAGCTGAGAAACCTAGATGCGGAATAGGAGTAAAGATGCAAGAGCGGAACCAGAGACACGACGGGGGAGCAAATGTTTACTCCTGGTCGATGACGGTGGTCTGGAGGCCCTTGGCAGTGCCGAGGCCGAGGACGGGGACGGCGTAGGTGTAGAGCTTCTCCTTGGCACCCTCGTCGTCGTTACGCTTGCGCTCGAGACGCACACGCAATCGGCGGGGGAAGTTCTTGACACCGTACTTCCACACCTCCTGGTTGAGCTTGGGGTCCAGGCGAACGTCCTTGGTGCCCATGGCCTTCTGGGCGAAAGCGACGACCTCCTTGATGGCGCGGGGAGCGCGCTTCTTGAAGGCAACGTCGTGGACGCGCTTGTGAAGGTTGACGGTGTACTCGCGGGTCACAACATCGTTAAGGGCAGATCGGGTCTTCTTGCCCTTCTGAGACTTGTCCTTGTGGTCCGCCATCTGAAGTCGATGAGCAAGATGAGCGACGAGATCGGAGGGAGGAAGAAGATGGTCAGCATGATTCTTCGAGCAAGATGCGGGCCAACGACAACAGCATCGAGCGTCCTCGAACACAGCGGTCAAAAGAGTTGGCGGCTTCCCAGAATAATCTCGTCCCGGCGTACGGCTCCTCCAGAGCAGCAATCCTTTCCTTGCTCAATTGACAGCCGTCGTCGACCAGATCCTGCCGCTTTCCTCCATTTCTGCTGCAACATCCTGACTGTCGTGGCGAGATGATGGTGCCGGGTCGGAACAACGAGAGCAGTCTGCATCTCGTCGTGTGTTGAAGCTCCCCGTGCTGAACGCTGAACAACGTATAAGGTCTATCAATCTCTACGGCCTCCTTGAGTCGAGGTGTCAACGCGCCGAGCGTTCCAGTTTACAATCTGCCTTGACTGAGAAAGCGTGCTCGCTGTCTCTGCCCAATGCTGCATCAAGATCGGTGGGTACGGTGGCACGTGTGATGTCGCCCTCGCTGAAAGTCGTGCAGTCTGCAAAGCTCTTGGTCGTCGTGAAGGCGATGCTGATGCCATGTCGTCGGTATCATGAGGTGCAGTGTCTCGCGTGACTGGAGGAATCTCGACATGAAGAGGCGTCGTGAGGCTCTGGGAGTGTTGACGAATAGCGCCTTCCGAAGATGTCTAAACTCGTGACGCATTCCATACAGTCGAGCCTGATCAGGACATATGCTGTTGTTCCACCTGGAATGTGATGCTGTCTCTGTCGTGTCTGAATGCCTTTGTCCGTTCCTCCTCCGTCCTACTGCGCTGTGCCGATGACGATCTGCTGATGCTGTTGTGTCTGTCCGGACTCATAGAGTGCATGGAATACTTACTGTTGATATCGATCTTGAAGGTGATGGTGTCGCAAAAGGTGTGGAAGGCGAAGGCGGCAGCGTTGTCGTCTTCGACAATCAGCCAGCTCCAACGCAGCTTGTGACATGCGACAATTGAGCGCTGTGCAGGCTCCTTAATTCTCGTTGGTCAACCGGGCTTCAGCACCAGTCAAATCTGGAATCTCGAATTTCGCGGAAGCGGGAAGCAGGGCGAGACGGCGCCTAAGCAGCGGACGATCAAGTCACGTGTAGAACTATACTTTTTCTCATCTGGCCAATCTGGGCGAATTTTGCTCGTCCTTTTCCCTAGCAAAATCTTGGTCTAACATCTTATAAGATTTTTCTCACCCGCTCTCATCAGGGTCTTGCGGTCGTAGCTGAAAGCATAGGAAGCCAACGAGCTGCACAGGCGCGAAGGATGAGCCGTAGACAGACCACATCAGATGCTTTGCATCAGCACGGACCTCGTGCGAGTGTGCGAGACCTCTGTCGCTAGGTATCGGGTTCTTTATGCTATATTGCTGTATGAGTCCAGGCAGCGCACCATCGCTGAAAAAGGAGCTGTACAGATGCAAGGCCGGCCGCGACACCGCGGCGACTGTGCTGTAGCGAGCCGCCGAGGACTGGCATCGCTGTGATTCTGATACTGATTTAATGCACACACGCTCTTCGGGGCGCCCTACGATACGTCAAGCGTTTGTTGGTTTCTGAACATATACGAGTTCGTGAGGTGACTGCTGTAGGATACATTTACACAGCGCCAGTCTTGGCGGCGTTGAGCTGGATCACACCAAGCGCAGCCGTCTCGGCGAGACGTCTCGCTGAGCTGTCGATCTGACCGAGCAGCAAGGTCGCCTCGAGACGCGATGGCTCGGCGGGAATCTTGAACAGACGGTTAACGTCCTCGATGGGGAGAGGAGCGAGGCCCTGTGCCTCGCGTGCTGCGTTCTCGGCCTTCTTGCGGACAAGGTAGGCTTCCGCCTTGGCCTTCTCTCGTGCAAGCTGACGGGCTTGGAATCCAACGTTTCCGGCCTCGGCAGCGTGCTCGTCCATAACCTCCAGTGTCGACTCGAGCGACGACGCCAGCACAGGTTCCAATGCAAGGTTCAAAGAGGTATACGATGGTGTGAGAGCGGCAGTGGGCGGGTTGCGGAGCAGATCCGATGTGCTGGGCTGCACGATCGAGGGACCGGGTGCGCTAGGTGTCGAGATGCTGCTGAGGAAAGCATCGAGAAGGGCCGTGTTTCGGAGCGAAACGGGGATCTCGATGAGGATGTTGGCGAATGTGAGCTTGTGGTCGATGAGGCTCTGTGTGTGGAACTTGCCCTTCTTGTGGGCTTCGACAAAGGAAGGCGACAGTCGGTATGCCTTGACCGAGGTGTTGCCCTGGGCAGACTGAGCCAGGTCGTGCACGATCAGAACGCCCTTGCCACGACCGCTAGCACCGTCACGCTCCATCAGACCAGCAATAGCAGCAAGACCATCAACGACGGACGAGTTGAGGAAAGCACCCAGGAAGCATCCCTGGTAGAGACCGACGGGGTTGGCATCGGCGTTGACATCACGCAGCAATCGAACCATATCGGATGTGTATCTGGTTGCGTTGCGGCTGCTTCGGTCCTCCTCTTCGTCGCGTTCGCTGTTGCTACGGCCAGGGTTGGGGAGAGCAAAGACGTTGGAGACTTCTAGTGTTCCGCCGAGGTCCATGCCGAGGAGGGCACCGGAGGCGGAGGCAGGGTGCGCATCGCGGCAGTGCTTGACAATCTTTGTGAGGGCGAGACCATCGAGGCGCACCGAGGTGATGACGTCCGAGTCGAGCTCGAGGGCTTCCAGAGCAGCGCGGTCAAGGTCAGACTGAGCATCGGTGCTGGATGCTTTGAGGTTGGCGGCGGTCGGCGCGGGGGCGGCAGCGGCGGATGGCGCTGCACGTGCGGCTGCAGACATGATGTATATGACGATCTCGGTCGGGTTGAGCAGGTGGAGATGGTGGTCGTTCGCCAGGATCGTATGAAGATACTCTCGTGACAGTGCCGCCCTCCTGCCATAGCAGTGTGCGCGTCTTCTCAGACTTTGGACGTTCGAGACAAATTTGAGAATCTTCCTGTTGCTCTGTGCTGGTCCGCCTCGAGTCCCTCACAAAGGGCCGCATCGGCAGATTTTTTTCGCGTCAGGTACTGTCTTACTCGCGGCGTAACATGGTTGGGTTTTTCACCATTCTCGAGCCTTTCCTTGATGTGAAGCAACCACCTCAGCCTCTCATGCCTACGGAGATGAGCTTCAAGGCGGGAGGGAGGGCGCTTGCCCCTCGCAGCTTGCAATGAACGTTAACACGCCGTTGGGTGACGACTGCTCCGTCTTTGGCTAGCTTGACGATGAAACAGCTGGCTCAGGGCAGCAGCACTTCTCCACCCAAAATAAATGCGCTCTGAAATAGTGGCCTGAAAATCCGCACAACATCATCAAATCCCATCGCAGCAGACATGTCGATGACTTTCCCTCAATTGGTTGCCTGTATCAAGTCAAAGCTGTGTCAACTGAGCACTGCCATGCAATCCCAGTGTCGACGTCAGCGCTGCTGGAACAGACGAAGAACCTTGGTCCGCCACTTTGAAGAATGTTCCGAAGACAGATTTGTAGAGTGGCGCTCGACCTGATCGCTCACAGCGCAGCGACGCCACGGCTGTCCGTCTTATATTTTTGTGATTTTATTTATCATTCTTTTCGGTAAAGTGAGATCTTTGGACGATCGGACCCTCGCGTTGTCACGCTTTGGAGAGAGACACATGTCGGCGTGTCCACTGGACCCTGAAGGACTGAATAAGGTCTGTGACATCTCGCACAGGTCTCAGAGTACAATGACGGCAACCTGGGCGGGCGTCGCCGGTTGCAGCCTGTGGCTCTGCATGTTACGTGCATCACATCCAAGAGCAGCGCAATCTGCACTGGTCGCGTACGCCAGCGCAAGAGCCTGGCTCGAAAGCAAAGAAGCGACACGATGCCAAATGGCCGTCGTAACGTACCCGCTTGATGAGAATCGAGGTCACTTTGACCCGAACTCTTGGCGTACTAATAACCAGCGCGCGCTAGCCACACAAGCGGGAAGCGAGGCAGAAGGAGCTCGACTCACTCGTGCTTGTGTCAGGCATACATACGATTCGCGCGCTTTGCAGACACACTGTAGCTCCCCGCGCGTTCGGCTACAATACCACGGCGCTCCGAGGACGCTGCTCAAATTTTGCACTTTGTGATGTGATAGAGATGCAGCCTGAGCTTATGCGGTTGGCTGAAGGCGCCCGTTGGCCCACTTCATCTTCGTGCAGAAAGATCGGTTCTTCATGCGGGCCACAGCTGCGCTGCAAACAACGATCCATGCTCCAGCCTCCCGCTCCTATCTGATCGAACGTCTCAGAATATCTTCCACCATTGTGGTCGGGTCTTCCTCGTGAGCGGAAGCTTCGTTCACGCTTCGACTTGCAGCATTGACCTTTGCCTCTTCCACCTGCCTCTTGCGAGTTCGGTCTCCACCACGAACCACCACATCCGACGACCATTCGTCGGCCATGCGGTACTGAGCGGAAGCCCACGCAACAGGCCACGAGGATTCATACACCTCATCGTGACTACCATGCTATCCAAGCTTCGCTCTAGCTCAGCGTGGGGCTTGGGCCTGCTGGCCTTGCATCTCTGCCTCGTCCGAGCGCAGCAGCCACCAGATCAATCCTCGTCCACGGTCCAAGGCCCCGCCAATGGCTCGTCTACCTCACCAGCGGCTACCTCGTCTCCCGCTCCCGCGTCAACGACCATCGTCTCGACCATCACGACGACTCTGTCGCGCGGACAATCGCTCCCGACTAGCTTGACTGCCTTGGCCTCTTCTAGCGGCAGCGTCTTCTACATCCCTGTCATCACAGCTGTGCCAGTGACATCAAATGCAACCTTGACGCCGGCGTCGACTTCCGCTCCTGAAGCCACAGGTACGCCCAATGCGGCCGCATCCCAAACATCTTCTAACAACACCCTTCCTCTCCACACCATCATCGACCCTGCCTTTGGGGTCCTCGGTGCCATTCTCATCATTGCGGGTGTGCCCATGGCATTCTACGGTCATCGCAATCGATGGTCCAGCTACTTTCTCGCAGGCTTCTTCGCCTTGGCTCTCATCTGCATCTCCATCATCCTCAAGGTCGGTGTCGAGCCCGCCATCAACCCGCCCTCCAAGGCAATCCGGGGCCTCTTCCTGGTCGCGGCTCTGGTTGCGGGCGTTGTAGGCGGCATCATCTCGATCGTCTTCTGGCGCGGTGCCGGCCTGCTCGCATGCGGTCTGGGTGGTTTCTTCTTCGGCCTCTTTCTACAAGCCGTGCGCCCAGGAGGTCTCATTCGTCCCGTCGGCCTTCGTTTCATCCTATACGCCGGCTTCTATGCCGTCTTCTTCACCATCAGCTGCGTCGAGCGTGTCCACACGCTCACGCTCGCCCTCTCGACGGCCATCATTGGCGCCACCGCAGTCACGCTCGGCATCGACTGCTTCTCCACCCAAGGCCTCAAAGAATTCTACGTCCGCAACCTCGGCTTCGATTCGCTCTTCAGCAACAAGTATCCGCCCACGTTTCAGAATGGCAACTTCCCGCTCGTCGAGGGCATGCAGATCGAACTGGGTGTCTTTGGCGCTCTGGTCCTGATGGGATTCGCATTCCAGATGCGCCTGTGGTCCGACCTTCGGGCTCAGCTGGCTGTGCTGAAGCGCTCTGACGGAAAACGAAACATGCGATCCAAGGCGGAACGAGCCGCACGTGCAGTCGCTCGCACCGCCAAGCGCGACCTGCAAGAATGGGAAGCTCGACATGGCTATACCAAGACCGCCAGCCGCAATTTGGCTTCGCAAGACGAGGAGAGTGGAGCCCCGCCAGCCTCGTCTTCCGAGCACAAGGGAAGCAGAAGCCGCACGAGCTCGTTCATGACTCTCTTCAGAGCTAACAATGATGCCACGCAGCTACCGACGCCCTTGTCACCCACGGAAAAGTTGGCCGATTCTCCTGCGGCATCTAGCGTACTTGACAACACTGCATATCCATTCCCGGCGCAGCCCGTCGCCAGACGCAGCTCGCAATTCCTCGAATACATTCAGAAAGGGCCCGAGCGGGTCGAGCTTGAAGGGCCGCTGCGTCTCGATATGCCGTCCATAACCACTCCCCTCGGCGACTTTTGTGCGAGTCCTGTGGCTGCGCACGAACCTGCTCCAATCAGCCCCATGAGCAGCGCAGGGGCCGCTGATTTCGGCGCAGCACCAAATGCGACCAGCTTGCTTGCTTTCAATCAACCTGTGTCGCTCGATTTGACCCGGGCCACGTCTCCCGGAGCCTCAAAAGGCGCTGACTCCTTCCGACAACGTTCTGCCTCAACTGCAGCCTTGATGAACAATGCCACCACCTTCTTGGACTTAGCACCACCGAGTGTCCAGTCTGAGCAGCCTGCTAGCCACCCGAGCCCGGCCAATTTGCAAGCTGCTGTCCCCACGAGCCAGTCAGACAAGGGAAACGAGGGTGCAGAGGTCATGTCCAATTCAGCTCCAGGTCTTGGGGCCGGCACGCGGAGCCAGACGCCCATCTTGGCTCACCACGAGCGCAGCTTCTCAAGTCCGACGGCACCTTTCATGTCGACGAATGCTGGCGCGACTACCACGGCCCAAAGCACATCTTACCAGACTCAGGTTCCGCAGAATTGGCCCCACATGCATACTCGACCACGTCCCGACTCGTACGCAGAGTACCGCCAGACTCCAACTGCTCAACAGCAGAGTCCATTGCCCTCGCCGGGTCTTGATCCAGTCAAGACTGTCAGTGGCGGCCAGAGCAGTGCTGTGATGCAGGCCAGACAATCACTGGCAACACGTCGCAGTGATCAACCTGCCGTGCCTTGGACGAATCCAGGCGCCGAACAAGCCGCACCCACGCATCGCCGAGCCTCAAGCGGTGATCCGTCGACACGCATGCGCGCAATGTCAATTGAAGAGCTCGAAGCGAGACATCGAGCCAAGCTGTCTGCTTTGCAGGCACCTGCAACTCAGACTGTCCAGGATGCTGTTGCACTGAGCAAGGCCAAGGAGGAGTGGGACAGGAAGCAGAGGCTGGAGAGGAGACGCATGCTCGAAAGAGAAGCACAGAAGGCTGCTGATGCTGCCGCGGCCGCCGCTGACACCAAGACAACTGGATCAGCGTCGACTGGCCGGGGAGCTTCAGCACCTCAGGGTGGCCTGGTCTCCAACAGCAGCAATACCGGTGCGCGAGACGACCGTCGACGATCGCGCAACCTGAGCGCTTCCTTGTTAGAGGTCGTAGGGGAAGAGGCGCGAGAGGGCGGTGGCGGCGCCAGTAGAGCTGCCGAATGGCGCAAGTCCATCTCTGGTCTGCAACAAATGGATCCGAGGGCGGCCAGACCATCAAACCCTGCCTCGGCCAGCAGCACTCGACCCACCTCGCCGCAGCCAACATCGAGCTTCCTCGGCGCTTCGCCCAACCCGTTCCCTGTGCAACCGCCAGACGCCCGTAAGCGTCTGAGCGAAACAGACCGACGACGTCTGAGCCAAGGCGCTGGAAAGCGCTCGAGCAGACGTGACAGTCAGCCGTTGCTCGACTTCAACCTGCCCAACGCCAATGTGTGATCGGTCTCGGGGTCTCGAAAGGGGTCAGCCTCCTCAGTCGACATTTGGGTGCAGCACACTCGAGATCGCGGACGTCGGCTCGCTCACTCCTGCATCCCACAGCCTTGTCCATGCTCCATATCTTTCAGAACAATATAATGTTGATGATCGTCCATGCTCCAAATCTTTACGAACGATATCATGTTGATGATGGTCGAGAACGACTGGCTCTCTCAAGTAGATATGAAGATCACTCTGGTCTTGATTGCGTGAAGAGCAGCTTAACAAGTCTTTCTTTATTCGACTGTCCGATCCGAGCGCGAATCTGGCTATGCATCAAATCTGCCGGCTTTTGAAATTTGTGACTCGTGGAAGCCACAGACTGCTGGGGATTTGACATTTTCGAGAGCCAAAAACCCTTTATCGCTCCTCCATCGTCATCTCGAGCTTCGTCTGCTTGTGCGTTTTTGGGGAAGCGTAACGCAGTCTTTGCGCAGGTCCGGTCTCAGCTCGCCATTCTGATGGCCAAAGACCGTTTCGGTTTTTGATCGTTTTCAGCTCAAATCTTGCTTCGGCTGCCCTTCGGCAAGGTGGTGTTCGAGGCCGCCAAGAAGAAGTGCACAAGCCGTCATCCAAATTTTGACTCATGCCGCTCGTGCTTTCGACAGCTCAAGCCGTCGCCGCCTCGTGCTGCCCGTCAGTCCTCTTCGTCTTGGCTCGTCCGCCGATATCGCCATTTGTTTGCAGTCATGCCTATCTGAAAGAAGCTCGCTTCGCTCAATCGGAATCGAGTCAGTCTCGGCGTACCTGTACGCAGACGACATCAACTTCTCAGATCGCCTACCGCCGCCCAACACCGCCGAGTCCCTTTGACGGCGCTCCCCTTTCAGCACCAAGTGCACACGCTTTATCTGCCGTCAACATTCCTTCTTATCTTTGTCCGCATCCCACCACATTGTTCTTGCCGCTGCCCGCGCCGTCGCCCACCAAATCGGCCTCTAGCAGCTCTTGGATGTGCACGGCTCCCCTCCGCACGTCGTTCCTCAGCGGAACTCGTCCTCCGAGCTCTCTTCTTCCCTCTGTGCAACGTCTTGCATCCACCAGATCCTTTTCAACGACGCCAAGGATATACTGCCGCGCGCGCTCTTCTCCTCCTACCATCACCACTCATACACAACGCTCGATCCGATCGCATTCGACCAGCTGTCCCAACACCATGCTGCAAGTTTCCGATCTGCTCTCCAAGAACAAGGCGTGGAGCAGCAACTTCTGCTCCACCAAGCCTGAGCTGGCTGCGCAGCTGGCCAAGACGCAGACGCCCAAGATCCTGTGGATTGGGTGTGCTGATTCGCGCGTCCCCGAGTCGGTCGTTTGCGAAGCCGACCCTGGCGAGATCTTTGTCACGCGCAACATCGCCAACCAGTTCCGTCTCGATGACGACAATGCGCTGAGCGTGCTGACGTTTGCGGTGCAGGCGTTGGGGATCGAGCACGTGGTGGTGGTAGGCCACACCTCGTGTGGCGGCGTCAACGCTGCTATCGCCGGTGCAGGTTCGCCGCCTAGCCAAGAGGCGCTGCAATCGAGCGCGCTGCTCCGTCACCTCGTACCGTTGACCCAGGTCGCCAAGAAGGTCGTCGACGCAAATCCCAATGCTGACAAGGACGAGCTCGCTCAAAAGGTCATCTACGAATCCGTCAAGCTGCAGGTGGACAATATCGTCTCAACCGACATCATCAAGGACAACTGGAAGGGCGTCGAGTCGCCCCTCTCCGGCAAGGTCATGAACAAGGTCCAGGTGCACGGTCTTTGCTACGACATCGCCAAGGCCCAGCTCGTCGATCTCGACCTCACTCGCTCTGCTTGATCACAGCATTCATATCGGAAAACCCCACTTCCCTTTGTACTCCCATAGAGCAGCTGCGCACATCCCTTTCTCGTTCCTCACATTGTGCCAGACGCAATCGCAGCCGTTTTCAGGACAAAACCCACCCACGTGCTCAGAGCCACACGCATACAATGGCGACGTTCGACGTCTTGCGGTTTTCCATTTCCTGAGAATCAAAATGTCCTAAAGCGGATCGTTGACGAAGCGAAGCGGGAGCTGACTGCCCTCCTTCTCGTACCCGATCACTGTCGGTCTCTGCACCACCGCTTCGACGCTCTTGTACTTCAACCCCTCCACCGACTCGATCCGGTACTTGGCCAATACGCGGATGAGGATGATCTTCATCTCGGTCATAGCGAACTTGTTGCCGATGCACACCTTGGGTCCGCCATTAAAGACGAACGAGCCGTACGGCGAGGGGAGCTTCGATTTGGCATGCAATTCAGGCAAGTGGTTCCAGCGATCCGGCCGGAAGCGATGCGTTTCGGGACCAAAGTACTTCGGATCCATGTTGTTGGATGTTACCGAGATGGCGATTTCGGTGCCGGCGGCGACGGGGATCGAGGAGAGCGTGCGACCGTCTTTGGTCTTGAGCGGCGTGGTGACCGGGAGGTTGTCGTCCTTGGTTGCGTAGCGGAAGGTGGTGGTGACGGGGGGACGGAGTCGGAGAGTCTCTTGGATGCACTGGTCGAGTGGACGCATGGCGTCGCTGTTGAGATCCGCCCAGGTGAGGTCCGAGATCGAATCGCCGTCCTTGCCCAGCGCTCGGAGGGCGTCTTGGATCTCCGATCGCAGTTTGGACTGGTACTCGAGGTCGAGCGCGAGAAAGAACGTACACCAGCTCATGGTGGTGGCGGTTGTCTCGTGACCCGCAAAGATGAACGTCACGATCTGACCTGCCAGCACCGAGTCCGACAGACGGTCCTCCGGTCGCAGCTCGGGCGACATGTTGGCGCGCATCAACAGATGAAGGATGTCCTTCTTGCCTGCAAACGTCTCCTTAGCATCCACACCCGCTTCGAGCTCCTTTCGGATCTGCGCCGCTTTAGCCTGCACGATCTTTTGCGAGACCTTGATGAGCTCGCTGCGCATCTCACGTAGCTTGCGCACGTTGTCCGTCAACGGCAGGATGTAGAGCAGCGAGGGGACGACGAAAAACATGAAGGCTCCGACGATGGCGTCGATGGGCGAGACGTTCATGGTCGACGTCATGGCGTCGTGAAACGTAGATCGAACCGCCAGACCATTTGGCCCCTGTTCGACCGCGCCAAAGTCGTAGTCGAACCCAGCATGACCAATGATGTCGAGCGTGACACGGCCGAACCACTTGACGGAATCCTTGACGTCCTTGCCCCACCTCTTCTCGAGTGACGTATCTTTGGCGAACCGATCCATCATCTGGTTCGTCGAGTTGGTGAAGACCGGCATGAGCGCCTTGAGCGAATCGACGCTGAAGGCGGGCGAGAGCATCTTGCGCTGCTTCTTGTGTTCATCTCCGAACACAGCGACGACGCCGTCGCCGATGATCATCTTGGTCGCCTTGGTGCCCGCCGAGCTGCGCTGGTAGTTGTACGTGTCGTTGAGGACGTGGCTCATGGTAGCTGCGTCTCGGGTGAGGAGCAGCTCGCCACCGATGGGACGGGGGAAGACGAGGTGGTCGCTGCCGTAATCGTCGTACATGCGCGCGGTCGCGACGCCGGGCACGTCGGTGATGTCGGCGCCGTCATCGCCAATGATGGGTTCGCGGTCGGCGGCGGTGGGGTTCTTGGCGCCAAACTTCTTCTTGTTGTCGCGCGAAAAGCCGAGCAGGAAGGAAGTACGTTGCGGGCCCGGCAGCCCAGCCAAGACGGAGGGGCCCCGCGTGGCTTCCTTCCATCCGAGGTAGAGCGTGACGACGAGGACGAGGGCGAAGAACGCGGCCAGGATCGGATGGGCGCTGGCCCAACGAACGACCTTGTCCGACAACGTTGTCGACATGCTTGACGACAACACTTGGCTCGAGATGGAGCGGCAATGTTGGTGTGCTCAGAAAGGTGAGATGGTGACGGACGGAAAGGATGACGAGGGGAGGGTATACTGCTATCACATCACATCGACAAACCTCGGCGACCATTCGATCCAGATCAGGTCACTATGCGAGCCAGTCAGCGCGGCTGCGATTCTCCTTTACACAGACAGACTATTTCCCGGCGGATCGCCGGCAGACACCTGCCTCTCCCTCTGGCGGAGTCTACCTGCTGCCGAATCCTTCTCCGCACGTTGAGACACGATGAACTCGAAATAACAGGCCACAATCGACCCGCGTATGACAAATTCCAACGCCCATAGACCGACAGATGCGAGACGTTTGCCGACCGCGTAACAGGGCCCTGATTACGGCGAGCTGCATGCCACAGAGGCCAAAATTTGGTGAGACAAAAGGAACGATTCGCCGGCGCGCAGCTGTCAGCCCCGCAGCGCTCGAACAACAGGGACCCTCTCCGCCGGCCTTCAAAGCGAGATCATCAGGCTTCCCATGCCGAAATGACTGCGCCTCGGCACTCTTATCGCGAGCTGTCAAGGCAAGAAGGTTCAAAGAGCGTAGCGGATTCCGAGCGATACAAAAGGTTCTGTGCACGCGGCATCAATTCCTGCGGAATTTCAGGCGTCTCTGAGGCATAACTTTGGACAAGGCTCGTCCTGTACGGTACGTTCGGGCCTCTGCTTCAATTGCTTCTCTTGCAGGCCGGATCATGAAGACGTTCCGCGGGACTGATCACAAGGCTTTGCTCGTCAGGCGGAGGACGAGGTTTGTGCCTCCTGAACGTGCGGATCTAGCTCCTGCGGTAACAGCGAACCGACAAGCTCAACCCGGCAAGATAACGTCGGGAGGCTTTCTGAGCTGCTGAACACATTTTGGCTGCTTGACCGTGCTCGCAGATTTGGGTCAGCTATGAATGCATTGCCGTGCCGGTTCGTGATTGTCTGCCCACAGCTACAGGTACGCCTGATAGTCCGACTCTGTGAGCTCGTAGCCCCACTGCCACAACGTCTGCCGGACCACCGAGTTCACCTTTGGATCGTTCCATCGGCCCCCTCCCTTGGTCGCAACATTGACGGCCAGCGACTTGCGGAACCGGCCTCCAGGACCACACGCTTTGAGCCAGCGTCCAATCTGACGCGCATCATCCGCCGATCTGCGCCCAAGGTAGAAGCGGTAATACCACTGGAACCAGCCACGTGGATCGAGAGGGCGGATCCAGCCCGCCTTTTCCCAGTCTTCGAGCGATTGTCCGGCTTTGACGCCAAACTTGTTGCGCGACGGATCGAGAGACTCTTGCCTGAGCATGTCGTCGACGTCGAGGCCCTCGAGCCAGTGGTCCGGAAGTTCAGCGAGCTCTGCTTCGACGTCTATGGGTCGTTGCAGGACTTTCGAGTAGTAGTCGCTGCAAGTGCGAATCGATGCATAGGCGCATCGTGAGCGCAGATAGTGGGATGTACGTGTCAGTATTAGGCCTCTGCGTCGTGTCTAATGTGCTGAGCTGAACTTACCGGAAAGCCGTTCCTCCAAATGCGCCTTCGCGGAGCATCTCGTCTGGCGTCACATTTGGCCGGAACTGCGAGAACTCCTTCTCGAAAACCAACGCGCCCCGCCCTTTGCCATCCGCAAGGGACTCGCGGGATGGCAAAGGCATCACCTCGTCATAGACCTCGTCTCCTCCTGACGAAGGTAGCGGCGGTGCGGCCGGATTCGAGAGCTTCTGTAGAATGCGTCGGCCCGATAGATCAAAGGTGCGCGATCCACGGCTGCCATTGCCCCCGTCGCTGTCGTCGTCATCGAGGCCATCATCACCGCGTCCACTGCCGTCACCGCGCCATCGAGGAGCATATGCATCCGAATCGTTCTCTTCGTCCGAGTCCCAGTCGGTGTATTTCGTCCTGCCAGAAGTGACCCCTCGACTACTCTTGCGCGTGCCCTGTCGTGGAATTTTCTTTTCTTTGGGTGGCCTTGCAATGTCAGGATGTAGATCTCGCTCGCGATAGGATCGAGGTCGACTTCCCGAGGCAATGCGCGATGATTTGCGAGCTTGCCCCGTCTCGCTCGGATCTGGTGTCAGCGCCGGACTGGTTCGTCGCCTGGAAACCGGCGCTTTCCTCTCTGGAGATGGTGGTCGCAATCGTGTTGAGGTCTGCGTGTTACAAAACAAGGCCCTTCACCAGCGTCAGCTCGCATGTACCTGCGCCGATGACCTCCATCACGTCTGCTTACCGGGTTGAGACCTAGACTGAGCATGAGTTCGGCATTCTTGCGGATGTTCTCCTGCCGAATCGCTTCGTAGTCCTGTTCCGAGTCGCCCATGATTAGCCTTCTAGATAGCAGCAGGTCTCTGAGCTCAGCTTGGCCTGGCGATGATGGTGGGAGCGTCGAAGAACGGTGAAATGAAAGGCTGAGTGAGAATCAGCAACCCAAGGCCGACTTTTTTTGAAGGCTTCACCTCCACCTCGTGTGTATGCAGGTCGCGCAGACCAACACTCGACGCGTACATTTGTCTTTGTTAGACCTCTGCCCTGTATAAGACCAAATCGGCTGGAGATCGCCGATCTGTTCAGCAGGGTCTAGCCGACTCGAGGCTCTAGACTCGCCCTCCTTTGTCGACACTCGCACTGCCACGAAATCTACCACGCCGCAGCACTATCGAGCCAGTCCACTGAGCTCTTCGGAGCCTGCTGTGCACTCGGACGAGACTGTCGATGCGGAGACCCGTCGGTGCATCGCTTTCCGAAGCCAAGATCTGCTTGTCTGTACCTCAAAATAGCGAGGTTCTGGGAACCCTTGGCAAACGGTGCGCATTGACACGGATCGTGTGAGAGGCGTCTGCTTCGGTGTCAACCAAGTTGCTGGCTAGGCTGTCTGCGCAAATGACGAAGAGCTGAGCTGAGTCAAGAACTTTGTTGCTGTGCAGTGCTGTGCTGTGCTGTTTTCTGCTAGATTTACCGGTGGTGAATGAAAAACGCCAAGCATTTGCCAAGCCATCGCTCGTCATGGTCCGGCGAAAGATGGGCTCGGGTGCTGTGCTGTGCTGCACCCTTTCTTTCAGCAGCGGTGACTTGGGCCCTGAGCACGCGGGGAAGCCATATGGGCACTGATTGGCAGCTCCGCAAATGTCCATGTCCATGTCCAGCGCCCTGGCGCTCTAGTACACTACACTGCTGCTTCCACCCACTCTGCTTCGCCGGCCTCAATTGTATGCACGCTGCAGCCCTTGGCAGAACGTGTCTGCCTTCTCGCGCGCGGATTCGACTGAGCTCCTCTGGCTCGCGGCGAGGACGGGGCTCGTTGCACTGCTTGCACTGCCATTACGATACCGCTCGATCGTTGCCATGCTCAGTGTGCCCTTATCGGCTTGAGCACAACCGAAGTACGAAGAATCTTGGCCTCTGTTCTGCTTGACCCACAGCACAGAGCACAAAGCGAGTCTGCCAATCGCAGCTCACAGAAGGCGGAAGGGGCTTCCATGGGCCGGCAACCGTGGGTCTGCCAAAGTGCCACAACGAGACCCTGCCCCAGACTCACTGGGCTTCGTATATAGGCCACGCATACAGCATACCTTTCCACCTTCTTCCTCTCACCCAACACTCTGGATTCTTGTTCCTCGTCGACCAACCATCCAGTCTCGTTACTCTAGCGTCTTTCGCTCATATCTCTTCGCAACACAAAGCATCTCCCACCTCAGCTTTGTGATTCAACCCAACCACGTGTGCCTTGCTGTCCAAGCACCAAGCTAAACTCTTTCTACACCACCCAAAACCGATGGTTCACGCTAATGGCTGCGACTCTGCTCCTGGCAAAGGACCTTCACAGCCCCAGCAGCTCGGCGGAGAACAGCTTCGTGCCACTTCTGACGCTGAAGAACCCCCTTGTAGTGGTTACTCCCACTCGACTCAGCAACAACACCAACACCACCATGAGCAGCATCATGCAGAAAAGGTCCAGCCTGACGAGCACCGCGTCACGGTCCTCGACCTGGGCTCGGTCAGTCGCACCCCGTCGTCGACTCCCAGCCGCCGATCCTCCACCGTTGCCGCAACGGTTGATCTGCATCAACCGCATTCCCTAGAGTCCGACCAGGTGATTGCCCAATTTCAAAGTGATATCAACACTGGTCTTTCCGAGGACCAGGTAGTCCAGCGTCTCAACGAGCATGGTCCCAACCAGCTCAAGGAGACCAACAGGGTCAGCGCCACCTCGATCCTGATTCGTCAGATGGCCAACGCCCTCACCCTCGTCTTGCTCGCCGCCATGGCCCTGTCGTTTGGTGTCAAGGATTGGGTCGAAGGTGGTGTCGTCACCGCCGTCATCGTCACCAACGTGCTGATTGGCTTCATCCAGGAGTACAAGGCCGAGCGCACCATGGCCTCGCTCCGCACACTCTCTTCGCCCAACGCAAACGTGCTCCGAGCCTCGACCATCCGACAGGTGCCCTCCACCGAGCTCGTGCCCGGTGACATCGTCAACTTCCGCGCCGGTGACCTCGTCCCCGCCGATGTTCGTCTCGTCACCATCAACAACCTCGAGATCGACGAAGCTCCCCTCACTGGTGAATCGGTCCCCGCCATCAAGACCACCGGACCCCTGACCCGACCTCACCTCGGCCCTGCTGACCGCACCAACCTGGCCTACGCCGGTACCACCGTCACCAAGGGTAGGGCCGTCGGTATCGTTGTCGCCACCGCCATGAACACCCAAATTGGTCAGATCGCCACCGCGCTCGCCAAGAAGGGTAACAAGGAGGACGCCGAGCGCCCCTGGTTTAAGCGCACCTGGGATGCCATCGCCACCTTCCTCGGTGTTCGCGAGGGCACTCCCCTCCAGATCAAGCTCAACAAGTTTGCTTACGTGCTCTTGTTCCTGGCCATCATCTGTGCTATCATCGTGTTCGGTGTCGCCGAGTTCGACATCAACAACGAGGTGATCCTTTACGCCATCGCCCTCGGTATCGGTGTCATTCCCGAGTCTCTGGTCGCCGTCCTCACCATCACGTTCAGTGTTGGTGCCAAGCGTATGGCCGAGAGCAACGTCGTCGTTCGTCGTCTCGATGCCCTCGAGGCTCTTGGTGGTGTTACCGACATCTGCAGTGACAAGACTGGTACCCTCACTCAGGGTAAGATGGTGGTCCGACAGGGCTGGTCGCTTGCCGACGGCAAGCAGCAGAACTTTGGCGTCGAACAGACGGGCGCCACTGCTTTTGAGCCCCATGGTCGCATTCTCATGCCCTCTGTCACCGCCGATGTTGAGCCTCAAGCGGTCGAACACGATCAGCTCCCCGAGCCCATCCGCAACCTTGCCACCGCTGCTTCCCTCTGCAATATCGCTGAGATCGAGCAGAAGGAGGACGGCTCCTGGACTGCCCGTGGTGACCCGACCGAGATCGCCCTGCAGGTCTTTGCCACCAAGTTGCAGATGTCCCGCGACTCACTCACTACCGGCGACCACGCTCAGTACAAGCACGAGCTCGAATTCCCCTTCGACAGCACCCTGAAGCGCATGACCAGTATCTACCGCCGCAACTCTCAGGCTGGCGCTGACCGCATCTTCCTCATGAAGGGTGCTGTCGAGCAGGTCCTTGCCTGCTGTGACAGCATGAACGAAGCCGACCGCAAGTTGATCCTCGCCCAGGTCGAAAAGATGGCCTCGCAGGGTCTGCGTGTGCTCGCCTTTGCCGACCGCAGCATGGATGATGTGCAGTTCAAGGACGAGAGCTCCCGTACTCGCGCCTCGCAGTCCGAGGACGCCGACGAATCTGGCACCATCAGCACCATGGGCAAGAAGCTCGAAAGTGGCAGTGCCGCTCCCGGTCTTTCGCGTGCTGCTGCCGAACAGGACTTTGGCTTCATCGGTCTCTTGGGTATTTACGATCCTCCCCGTGCTGAGACTCGTGCTGCTGTCGAGGCGTGTCAGCGTGCCGGTATCGTCGTCCACATGCTCACGGGTGACCATCCCGCTACTGCCCATGCCATCGCCAAGGAGGTCGCCATCGTTGATGGCACCGAGGGTCCTTCGGCTGTCATGACCGCTGCTCAGTTCGACGGTATGACCGACGCCGAGATCGACGCTCTCGAAGACCTCCCCCTGGTCGTGGCTCGATGCTCTCCCGCCACCAAGGTCCGTATGATCGCTGCCGGCAAGCGCCGTGGCCGCTACCTCGCCATGACGGGTGACGGTATCAACGATGCTCCCTCGCTCAAGCAGGCTCCCGTCGGTATTGGCATGGGTACCGGTACCGATGTCGCCAAGGACAGCTCGGACCTGGTGCTCACCGACGACCGTTTCGACTCGATCGCCAAGGGTATTCGCGAGGGTCGAGCCATCTTTGACAACATCCAGCGCTTCCTCATCGGTCTCTTGGTCGCCAACGTCGCCGAGGTGCTCCTGCTCCTCTGTGGTCTCGGTGTTCGCGATGCGGACAAGGAATCGGTCTTCCCCCTCGCGCCCGTCGGTATTCTTTGGGTCAACATGGTCACCGCCTCTCTTCCCGCCATTGGTCTCGGTCTCGAGCCTGGCGAGAGCGACATCATGGAGCGCCCCCCGCACGATCTGCGCGCCGGTGTGCTCAGCCGCTCGGTCATCGTCGACACGCTCGTGTACGGCAGCACGATGGGTATCACCTGTCTGATCGCCTTCCTGCTCATGATCTATCCGATCGGCGGCGGTCAGATCGCCATCGACTGCAACCACTCGTCGGCCGCCTCGTGCGAGCCCATCTTCCAAGCCCGTTCCGCCGTGTTCACCACCTTGACCCTCCAGCTGCTCCTCATCTGCTGGGAGCTGATCAGCATGGAGAAGTCGTTTTTCAGCATGTCGCCCGCCAAGCATTTGTGGAAGAACCCCATGCTGCTCTGGTCGGTGGTGTTCGGTATCGCCACCATCCCCATCGCGCTGTACGTGCCCAAGTTCAACACGGACGTCTTCAGGCACGCACCCATGGGTGGTGCCGGTTGGGGTATTTCCATTGCTATGACCGTGACGTTCATCGGCATCGTCGAGCTGTGGAAGGCCCTGGCGCGTAGGGGTAGGTGGCCTTGGCTGGCAAGGATCTCGGGTGGTCAGCGCGGCCTCGCCCGTCGTCAGGCCAAGAAGCAGAAGCAGCTCAGCGAGAAGGCTTAAGTCGACCCCAGCTGCTGAGTTCCTTGCCATCCCCAATCCCTATTCTCAGATGTATCTAGTTCTCTGTATCTAGTCCTCCAACAATCGAGCATGAACATGTTCCTTCCCCTATAACGATGTCAAGTGCGAGCCTGCGTGCCTTCTGGTGACACAATCGAGCCTCACGATGTGAATAAACGTGAGTGATAGCGCGGTTGCCTCCTCCGTCGGAGCGGCCGGCTTCACCTTGTTAGATCGTGTCAATGCTGAATCAGCAATGGACAGGGTCGAGCTCGGACGAGCCGGGTTCCTGTTTCCCATGGCCGAGGCATCTGAAAGAGCAGAGCCGGCATGACGACGTGGCCGGATGATCCGTAAATAGTGACTCAGGTTGCGCATTCCAAGGATCGGCAGACTGCGTCCTAAACTGAAACCGACGAGTCGATGACGAAAAAAGCAGCTGAGCAGGCACCACACACAGCCAGCAAAGCACGCCTAGGTGGAGGTCTTGATGCGACTTGGTCGGAAAAACGCGTCATACCGGAAAGCGTGGCAGTGTCCGTGCGGAAAGAACAACACCAAGTGCGGGGGAACAAGGGCTAGGGTAGCAAAATTAGGCTCACAGCCGAGTTCAAGGGTCGATGCCAAAAAAGAGACAGCTCATGGCAGGGTAGAAAATAGAGGCACGGGCCGGTTGATTAATTCCATTTTTGGTAGCCCGTCCGGTTGGTCACCAAATATAGTATCATCTTGCGAGCAAGACCTGGGGTAGAAGCCGCATTCGCCGATAGAGGTCTCTCCTTTACATCGTCGAGGAGGCAAAGCAGCACATCGAGTCGTCAATGGAAAAGTCTCGGAGGAACGGGGCTGAGTCGGAACTGTGCATCTCGATCCAAGCAAAGCTGCCTGGTTTCCATGTGGAGGCTTCTGTGTTGTTTGCACGGTCCATCCGCTTCGGTTGTGCCGAGCATCAGGCATGGCATGGACAGTGAGCACGCACGTAGGAGGCTGAGGATAGCGAGCGAGGCAAGCGTGCGACTGTCCAATTGAGGCTCTCGCTGACTGAGGCCTGCAGCAAGCAGAGACAGAATTGCGAATTGAAAGAGCGACCCGTTAGCGAGGTGGGCTGAGCACAAACGGACACAGATCCGATGCATCGAGCCAGGTGTCAGACGGGCGGAGTGCAGACGGAGAGAGAGCGAGACCCTTCCGATCCTCACTTGACACTGCCCATTCGGCTGCGTTGGATGCCCAAAAAAAAAGGTTCCGCCTCTCCACAAAGTCACACTTCACACATCGACTTTCGAGTTGCACCTCGTGATCAAGTTGATGCTCTCTCTAGCCCAACTGCCTCTGCTCCTCTGCGTCACCTTCTCTTGGCAGCAGTCTCCTCTCTGCTGACGTGGAAGAGCCGACGCCTGGCCACGCCGTGCTGTGCTGTGCTGTGTGCGTGCTCAAGCAAGCCAGGCCATCTTGACGGCATCCTCTAGCTCTGTGGTGTGCAACGCATGAATGTCGTCATCTGAGCCTCCCTCTCTGCCTAGTGGTCCATGCGGCTATGCCCCTCTCTGGCTCTTTGTCGGCTCTCCCGTCCTCGCCCCTCTCTGAGTGACTGCGCTTTCACACAGGCGTCTGGCCGTGGCTACTCTAGCCAAGTGTAGTGAGGCTCAGTCGAATCACGCAAGGGTCCCTTTCTCCAGTTGGCCCCTCCGCAGGATCTGTGACCAGAAAGGATATAAGCCCTTCTCTTCAGCATCCTTGTCGATCATTCCTCCCCTCACCACCACAACTACCACTCTTCCACACCACACCAATCCAACTTTACTAAATCGCAAACATGTCTGACGCTGGACGACAGGACTTCACCGACAAGGTACGTTTGCACCCCCACCTAGCCTCCTCGATAGCCTCTCTTCGCCGCCAGCAGCATCCACTGACACATTCCTTCTTCCTCTTCCATTGTATCTTAACGCTCTGCAGGCCTCTTCGGCCATCAAGCCCGACTCGCAGAAGGGTCTCGGCGAGAAGGCCAAGGAGAACCTCGACAAGGCTGCCGCCACTGTCCAGCCCGACTCGACCAAGTCTGACTCGCAGAAGGCCGGCGACAAGCTCAGCGGCAGCGACAAGTCGGACGAGTCGATCATCGACAAGGCCAAGAACGCTGTCGGCCTCGGCGGCAACACCAACCACTAAACGTTTCCGCGTTCGGTTGTGTTTGACTCTGCCCTCGTCGTCACCACTTGATGTTTGACCCCCCTTCATCCATCACCAGGTCGACTTGGCTTTGTCTACGTCTCACGCCTTCGATGCAATCAAAGAATAATACCTCTTCTTCCAGTTTCCGTGTGTGCGCTCATTCTCGCGATTCTAGTGGACAGTGAGCAGTATTCGTGACCATGAAATGTTCGATTGCAAGGCCAGGCTGATGTACAAGGGCCGTCCGTGGCACAAGTCAGTGACTTGCAACACCGTTGCCGTCCGTAGCACGACCACGGGTCTCAATAGGCAGCAAGGCCATGGCTGATGTCACGATGACCAGCACCGATGTTGCCATGAACAGGGGCACGGCCGGCGACAGCGAGAACGCCCATCCTGCCAACAGAGGCGCGATGATGCCAGCGACCCTGCTGATGGCCGATGCTGTGCCGCACGCCGTCGCTCGAATGGTGGGAGCCATGACCTCGGGCGTGTACCCATATATCGCAGCATACGAAATGGAACTCGACACGCTGACCACCGTCAAACTGGACCGCCAGTAGGTCAGCGAAAACACCAGCACCGCCGCGGCCATAATCGCGGTCGAACTGACCATGGTTCCGATCCTCCCCAACCGCGTCTCCACCATGTACGCCGAGATCAAACTCCCCGGCAACGACGAGAGCGAGTAGAGCAAGATATCCAACATGGCCCTTCGTATCGAGGCGTCGTCCGGCTCGCCCTGCATCGCGGCGGGTGAGTCGTACCGTGACTCGAGCAGCTTCGGAAGCAGAACGTTGAACGTCGTAAAGCCATACGACATGCCACCCCAAATGACCCAGATCAGGAGGGTCGTGCGCTTCCACGAGGGGGAGAAGAGCTCGCTGTACCGTGAGACGAGGTCGGATGCGCTTGGCTGCCAGGAGGAGGGGAGCCAGGTGAGGGACGGTGGGATGTCAGGGGTCGATGAAGAGGGATGGATGACGGTGCTGCTAGGCCGCTCGTTGATGCTGTTGCGGGAGTCGCTCTTGGGCGAGTGTAGAGCCTGATCGTCTGTATGTGGGTTGAGGAGAGGTCGAGAGGATGCTTCCCGGTCTGGGATGTCTTCCTCGTCGTCCTCTTCCTCGTCTGCTGTATAGCTGTCTCTGAACCGATGTGAAGAGTGCTTTTGTCCGTTTGATTGTTCGTTATCGTCTTGCTGCTCCGGAGCAGCATCTGTGGTGCTCGACCGTTGATGCATGGAATGCTGACTCGTCTCCAGGTCTCCTATCGGAGCTGCCCCATTCGTATGGCTGTGATCCTCGACGTCCTGTATCCTTAACGAGATTGTTGCACCACCATTATACCGATGAATCTTCTGCAAAATGTCCCTAGCCTCCTGCGGCCGTCCAGCGTGCACCAGGTACTTGGGCGACTCCAACAGCCGGAAAAAGGCCACCCTCGCCGACACAAACACCACGGTTACACCCGCCAATGCGCCCAGCAACCATCTCCACCCGTCCGGATCGCTCGCCGACAACACCGCCAGTCCGATCAGCGACGACACGACCGATCCTGCCGAGAAGAACACCGACAACGCCGTCACGTAGCTATGCTTCCTCACCGGCAGATTCTCCACGAGATTCGACGAGTCTGTCGGCATACTCCCGCCCACGCCCGTGCCCACCGCAAACAGCAGCACACACAACAACGCAAACGACCCAGCCATCGCCGCTAGCGTCCCAAACACCGCCGTCACCGCCAAGGTCACATTGAATGCCGCCCTCCGTCCATACGAGTCCGACACGACACCCCATGCAATGGACCCGACGAACATGCCCACGAAGATGCTCGAGCTCGCCAATCCCACGATGCCGTCCGTGAGGACAAAGTAGCGCTGGATGTGCGGGAGGATGATGGCGATGGCCTGGATCCACATGTTGTCAGCGGCCCAGCCGAGACCGGAGAGGAGGAGGACGGTCCACTGATAGCGGCCCATACCGATGCGGTCCATCGTGCGGTCCAGGGGTGTCGAGCCGAGAGCGGTGGAGCGCCAGTCATCGTGGGTATCGCCGGAGTAGTTGATCGAGGGGAGGTAGAGCGAGCGGGTGGAGGTTACGCGGTCGACCAGCGGTGGACGGCGGGGGGTGTCGGAGCTCGTCCGAGCGGAGGAAGGACGGCCAAGAGATCGTGTGCTGAGATGGCGCGGCAGGGAGGAAGGAAGGGAGGACGGTTGGAGGCGCGAGGACGAGGGGAGCGAGGGGAAGGTGGGTCGAACGGGGCTGGTCGAGTTGGGCTGCTCTAACCAGCTACTGTGCCCTCCCTCGTCTTCGATGGTGAGAGGCGAACCGCTCGCGACGAGTGACCTGCTGTCCTGCTGAGGCGAAGACATGGCTGCATCATCCGCCCACGTAGGTGGAGAGGAGCTGATGGCTGGTCATGAAGGAACGTATGCTCGATGACCCCGCATACAACCCGGAAGGCCGGAAGTCGGCTAGACCCTGAGGCGCAATTTCGCTGAATGTGAGATCGAGATATCGGGTTTAGCTCAGCCTGTTGAGTCAGTTTTTTATCAGACAAGAAGGGCGCAGTGCGTCATGGACATCTGACCTTGCCCTGGCTCGGGAAGAATTCGAAAATTCGGTTCGAGGTGGTGGCTCAGTTGACAGGGTTGACCGTCCAGGCTGACTCGCACTGCTCCACTTTGACTCGCTCATCACCTGCTCCTTCGTATCTCACCTCATCATCATCATTCAACACCATCGCGCAGCCTTCTAGACAATGGCAGCGATAACCAGGACATAGACGCTCTCTTCACAGAGCGAGCACATTCGAAGAACACCACCGACTCGACGTCCAGCGCCGCGTCGCCACAGCCCCACACGAGCTCGTATCCAAGCCACACCGCACAAAGGGGCCCTCCTCTGACTGTCGAAGAAGCCATGGCGTCGATCACGGCATCCTCCTCACGGAGAAGCGATTTAGCCGAACCCGAAGCATTCCCAAGCATGTCATCTACCTCTCTGGAATGTCCGCGAGGCCAACGACGAAGCAGCTTTGGTCAGGGTGCGCCACGCAAGCCCGTCTCGCGCAGCAAGAAGGCCGTCGCTGCCGTCACAGGAGCAGTCACCACCTCGTTCCTCATGACTCCCTTCGATGTCATAAAGACGAGGCTGCAGATCCAGAGCAGCGCAGAACCGCTCTTCTTCCCGTCACAGCATATCGCCTCAGCGCCCGCCTCAGCAACAGCATCGTCCTCGGGGCTCAACAAGGGGAAGGGAGTGGCAAGACCAGGAGGATCATCAGCGCAGATGACTGGAGGCCTGCAGGCTCATCCAGCAACATGCTGCCAGCAGACCTTCTTCACATCCAATCGACAACCCGAGTCGATCCTGTGTCGCTTTGATCCACGACAAGCTTCGTCCTCCACATCAACCTCAGCATCAGCAACTCCATCATCGGCATTCTTCACACCAGCATCGTCATCCAAAGCATCGTCTTCTAGATCAGCATCACGCGCTACATCGCGCTTCGGCCGGCATACCACTTCCTTTGCAGCATCCTCCACACCACCCCGATCTAGCGTACGCATCCTCCCAACGCCGCCACCTGCACCGGCATTCTACCTCCACCCTACGCCTTCCGCCGTTACAGCGAACGGCTCTTCCTCGTGCGCCTGCGCTTTCCCAGACGAAGCGGTCGCCGCACGGGAGCTCAAAGCTGCTGCAGCGAAGCAAGGCCGTCTGACCGGCCTCTGGGACGGAGTGATCAAAGTCGGGCGGGCAGAAGGCATTCGCGGTCTCTGGCGTGGTCTCGCTCCCACACTCATGATGACCGTTCCCGGCCAGGTCACGTACATGTCATGCTACGACTTCTTCCGCACGCACCTTCTCGCTTCAGAAGACAGCACTCAACTTCAAGCAGCATTTCAACAACACTCTGCGGCGAATGGGCGGGAGCTTGGCTTGCCTGGCAAAACGCCTTCGCTGAGCGCAATCACCGCTCAATCACTCTACGCATCGCTCCTTGCAGGTGCGTTGGCACGGAGCATCTCCGCAACGCTCGTAACGCCCCTCGAGCTGATCCGTACGCGACTCCAGGCGTCTTCGCGCTCGCAAGCCGACCTACGCTCCATTTTGCGCGGATTGTTTGTCGAGATGCGAACCACCTCGCTCCGTTCTGGCGGTGGACCCCTCATCTTGTGGCGCGGGTTGACGCCGACACTGTGGCGCGACGTGCCGTTCAGCGCGATCTACTTCGCCGGGTACGAGGCGACCAAGCGCAGTCTGACGGGTGGTGGGTTGGGCGAAGGCAACGCCCAGGGGAGTGGGGAGGAGTTTGGTGTGGCTTTCGCATCCGGTGCGCTCGCGGGAAGTGTCGCTGCTGTCCTCACCCATCCGTTCGACGTGGTCAAGACGCGGTTGCAAACCCAAGGCAGCCCCAAGGATGGCGAAGGACGCCTCAGCGGGAGTTTGAGGGGCAGCGAGGCGAAAAATGGGAATGTCTGGCAAGGGCTCAGACGGATCGTCAGGGAGGAAGGGAGCAAAGGGTTGTGGAAGGGGTTGAGTCCTAGAACGGCCAAAGTGGCGCCAGCGTGCGGCGTTATGATTGCTAGTTTCGAGGTTGTCGGTCGCGCACTGGCAGATTTGGACCTCTAGCCCCATCACATCGTACAGACACGGCTCGAACATCTCAGCATCTGCAATACAAGCTGTTCAAATGCATTCACTGTTACCATTCACTGTCGCTGTAGGCATGAGTATTGATTCGATGAGAGAAACGAGTGAGTGTGGACTACGAGTACATGCATGGCTAAAGTGAAAAGCGTCTTTCCCATCCTCCTTTCTCCTTCCATTCCACCTCACGCAACCGGCGTCCCCCTCTCGCTCTCCACCCTGCTCCCCGGCGTCCCACCCTCATACCCCCTAAACCCCTCCATCCCAATCCACTGCCACACCCTCAACCATTCCCCCTTCTTCTGCGCCTGCCTCACCCGCACATTCGAATTCTCCTCCACCACCTTGGCCACCTTCTTCCACAACCGATTCCGCGTGCCCGCATGGTGTTCCTCCGCCAACACGTGATCCCGGAGATGCGAGAGAGGGATAAAGTCGTCCGGGTAGAGAACGGGGTCTCGTCCATGAAGATATTCCTGTTCCTGGAGCTTTTCGAGTGCTGTCTGGACGAGGAGGGTGACTTTGACGCTTTCTGCGCGGGAGGTGGCGAGTCGACGGCGTAGGTAGAATGCGGTCGAGAGGGCGGAGAGGAGGAGGAAAAAGTAAAGACGCGCGCGAAGGACCCACCCCTTGAGCGCAAGGCGCGAGCGACACGAGAGGGAGAGCGAAGGCTGTTTGGCCGCGAGGTAGTAGCGTGTGCCTTCACCTTCGCTGATGGTGCCGTTGGAGACGGGGATGCGGACGACGTTGCTGCGCGGATCGGTGAGCTCGAACAGCGCCATGTACCAGATCTGCTCAAAGTAGTCCTCGTCCACGCGGACATCCCGAGTGGCCGACATGGAGCGCTTGACTGCCGTCTCAGCGATGGCGTAGGTCAGGTTGCCTTCCGATCCGAGGATCTTCTTGGGCAAGGTGCGTACCGTGGCGTGGGGCTTCTGCGTCCCGCAGACGATCTCGCCCTTGAACTCGGCGAGCATGTTCGAGATGAACCCCGCGAGCTCAGAGGCAAGTACGAGCTTCTGCGTGTCCGGGTAGCAGCGTGGCGCTGTCACGTGCAGAGGAAGGACAGCTTTGACGATGGGAACTTGCGAGAAAAGGTGAGGCTGCAGCACCCAGTCGTCGGAAGAGCAGCCGAGCACTTTGCCGTATGCGCAGTCGGCGTGCGCCGGGCATGGCGTGCATGTGGGCTGAAGACGGGCCGGCAGAAGAGTCATGTCTTCCACCGTCTCATTGTTGGCCTGCGCAACTGCAAGCGCGGTGAGGCGGCGATCTTCGACGATCGAGTTGGTGTCCGAGCCCGGGTCGCAGAAACCGAGAGCGCGCGACTCGCGAGCGTACCAGACGGCCCAAGCCAGCACACTGACGGCGACGATAGTGTAGATCGAATGAAGGAGGTAGTCGGACAGAGACTTGCCCGATCGTTGTTCCCGGCGACGCTGCTTGTCCTTCTGTCGGCGAATGGTTCGCATCTTGGCGAGTGCAGAAGGAGATGTGAATGTTTCGAGGTCGAATTCGTCGTCCTCTGGCTCGGCGTCGGCGCCGTGAGCGGCATTCCTACCGGTGGCTTCGTCGTCCGCAGCATGGCCACCCGTTGAGTGGGCCGAGGTCGTGCCAGTCGCGCGGCCGATGATGCGAGGAGGGGTCGTCGACGCCACCGCCTTATCCATGTAGTTGCGCAGGGTGCTACTGGCGGCCGGACTGGCTTTCTGAGACTTCTTCGGAGGCGAGTTCTCCTTGAGAGACGAAGCCGACGTCTTCTTGCGCAACGACGAGGTGCCATCCGTGGTCTTGCGACGCGCTTTGCGTGCTGAAGCAGCTGCTTTGGCGGCGACACCTTGTGCGGGAGATGCTTCGGTGCCGGACTGGAATGGGTTGCTGTCGGAGAAGGTGCCGTCATCGTCGCTTCTAGCGCCAGCGCCATAGCTGAGGCGACCGACCTTTCGAGAGCTGGAGGCGGGTGCAGGTGGAGATGTGTTTGGATCAAAGGAGACGCGGCGGGGCGAGGTGTCGTCCTCAGGTTCTGAGTCCTTGGCGGGAGTCATCACGACGGCAGGGGCAGTCTTACGGGGACGGCCTGGCTTGCGCTTGACGGGCGTCTCTACCACCTCGACTTCTGTCTTGACCACCTTGAGGTCGGTTTCGGGTTCGCTTTCGCCGGATGTCGCGACCTGGTTGGCAAGAGAAGATTTCTTGCGGGCTGGCGTGCGCGTCTTAGCATCGGTCGCGGCAGAGGCCTTGGCCGGTGTCTTGGATGTCGCAGCAGACGGAGTGGGAGCCTCGCTCTTTCTCGGACGCCCTGGCTTGCGTTTGGCTGGAGTCTGCTCTGGCACGGCGTCGTCGCGCATGTCGATGATTCCGCTGGAGCTGGCGACGATCGAGGCGTTCTTCTTGCGCAGAGACGCAGTCTTGGGCAGAACGTCTGTGTTGAAATGTTCAACAAGATCGGCCTTCCTAGCTGCGCTGCTGAAGGGAACCTCGTGCTCGACCAGGATGTTTCGCAGCTGCGGCATGGTGAGGGAGTTTGGGTCGAAGCCCTTTTGCATATATTCGTCGCGCTCGACCATCTTGGCTGAAGGAACTTGCCGCGCTTATTGAAGCGGGCTTACCAAGACTTTCGATGAGTCGATGTCGGATGAGTTGGTGGTCAACTGCGGACGATGATGGTGGCACAAAGAGAACCAGGGAAGAATCGATGCTCGTGTTCTTGAGGCCAGTGCAACTCAGCTTTTTCCCGCCACTTTTCGAAGTGAGGCTCGAGACTTGGACCCTGACTTTCGCAACGCGTGTCACAACAGCGCATAGCAGTATCACGTGATGATCTAACAAGGGGACGCATAAATTAGCAGTCTGTTAGACTCCAGTTTTAGATGACGTAATCCAATCTTTACACTGAGGCTGACAGTCGATTCAGGCTGCGTTTGGTACCGACCCGCGAAGAGAGAACCTCAGAGCTTCGCTACAAATAGATGCCGAGGCGCGGACCTCGACCGTGACTGGAGCCTCGTCTTTCAGATACTTGCAAAGCGGTGCGAGTCAGATAGCCGCTGATGCCAATGGGCAGGGGGCGTTGGGCAACGGGTGAGGCGGAGGAGGAACGTGCTGATTCGAGCCAGTGAGCCTTGATTTCCGCGCTAGAAATTTGAGCCAACGGAAACATCCGCCAAAGGAAAGTGGCTGGATCCGAGTCAACTGACGCTGAGACCGCCGCCATGCAGCCCGAAATCTTTTGACGCGGCGCAGCTGCCATGCATGCATGCAGTCGAGTTTTTGTGACGTTTGATATGAAACGTTTCCGACAGTGCTTGCTCAGGTGACCGATGTGTGACTCTACCTCAACCTTGCGCCTCGTTTGACCATCGTGACCACTGGAACCTGCCCTTGCAAGCCTCATCATTCACCACCATCATCTGCCACTCCCATCTTGATCTCTACACCCATCTTCAGTCTCGCTCGTCGACACAGCGATTTTCGTCGTCTGCAGCTCTCTTATCGCCACTCTGGGATATCCACACACGCGCCGGGAAGCCTTACACGTTCTGGATCTACACCGCCCGACACACACCTGATAGGACCGTTCCTGCTCCGCAACTAAGAACTCATCATGTACTCGACATCTCCGTCTTCGTCCTCCATGGCCTCCTCGTCAGGGCGCTCCTCGCCTGAACAGTCGAGCTCCAAGCAGCAGCAACAGCGAAGCAACTCGTTCCTCCTTCCGCAATTCTTCTTCTCTCAAAGCAACAACGGAAGCAACTCCGCCACGAATCAGGACAACAATCCTCACCCTGTGCAGAATGCACTCTACTCGCAAGCGCCTCGTCGCACCAGCTTTGGCGCAGGCTTCTCCAACAGCGGCCGCTTCTCTGCTTTGAGCGCTTTTGGATTCACATCGGCCTCCGCAGGTCTCAGCAGCTCGCCTCCTGCATCTTTCGCCGGGGCTTCCGAGCTGTCCCGCCGAACAGGTAGTGCCATCGAGTCTCCACAATCCGAATCGCTATCCTCTTCGCCCACACAGTCCTCGACACAGAAGAGCAGCAGCTTTAGCACCAACACATCCATGGCTCCACCCGCCCCTCCTGCGAAACGTCACCTCTGCTTCCCGGATGGCATGGGCGGCACCGTCTGCGTCGAGGTCAAGGACCCAAAACGTCGCGGCTCGTCTGTCAACTAGGCTTGATCCTTTCCGCTCATGATCCTTCGCCCTGGTTTCCCTGAATGGCTGCACAGCCTTCAACCCGTCACGAACTCTCTGTCCGCATCACACATTTCCCTGTAACAACAGTCTCTTAGCTCAGCGTTGCTAGTCTTGTCATTGCCTAATACGAAGCCTTTTGGCACCCAGCTTCCATAGCTGACGATCTACGACGATCTACGCCTCACGCCTTGATAGCCTGAGCGGACTCAAACGCCGGAAACTCGGGATATGGCGCATCCAGGTCGTCCACCAGACCATTCTGGAACTTCTTATCTTGATACCCATACTTGCGAGCAACCCACGGAATTTTCGCGATATAGGCCAAGGTCGACATGAGCCTGTGAAACAGCCACCTCGTCACAGCGTATCGAGGATGAGCGATGCCCGGCACGAACGACGGGATGTTCTGGATCTCTTCGACGAAAGGGCGAAATTCTGCCTCGTATGCTTCGAATGCCTTGGACGGATGCTCGTCCGCTTGAAGCTTGGAGAGGTGACCTGACAAAAGGTAGGCTCCATTGATGGCGAGCGAAGTGCCCATGCCTGTCAAGGGGGTTGGCGCAAAGGCTGCGTCGCCGAGGCAGATGACTCGATTCTTGTGCCACTTGGCCATCTTGATCTGCTGAATAGGCTGGAAGTAGAGATCATGGGCATGTTCCATCTCTCGCAAGATGCGTGGGGCTCTCCAGCCCATGTCGCCGAGCTCTTTGTTCATCAACTCCAGCTGCTGCTTCCTGTCTCCGCCCCGGGCTGCCGACATCCACTCTGCCTTCTTCTCGGGCGTAAGCGGCATGACAGTGAAAAAGGCTCTCGTGGTGCCGTGGTTGTCGGGTCGAGTCGTCAACACCCTCGAATCGAGACCGTGGTAGATCGCCCAGTAGTCGGTGTCCTCCGGCTCTCGCGGCACGGTGCCGTACACGCAGAAGGCGTTCTTGTCGACTACCTGGATGGCGTCCTCGCCAAACACCTGCTTGCGTGTCCTCGACCACTGACCGTCGGCAGCCACCAGTACGTCGTACTCTTGGTCCTCGCCCGTGCTCAATTTGACTCGCACCTTGTCCTGACCGTTCTCGATGACCCCGGCGATGGTGGTGCCGAACTTGAATTCGACGCCCGGCAGCGACTTTGCCGAATTATACAGCAGTTCGGCGAGGTCACCACGGAGAATCTCGAACTCAGACGTAGGGCTGCCGGCAGACCCCTCGACGGGAAAGTCGGCGATGGACTTGCCTTTGGAGTTGACAAAGCAAGTTCCCTTCTCGGTCGTGTGATGCTTGCGAAGCTCTTCGAAGAGACCCATCTTGTTGATGATGTTGAGCGCGGTTCCGTGTACGTCGATGTTCTGACCCTGAGCCAGCATGGACGACGCCTTCTCGACGATCGTGGCTCTGGCACCCACGCGGGAGAGCCAAAAGGCCAAAGTAGGGCCTGCGATGCCGGCGCCACTGATGAGGACGTGCATTGTGAAGTAATCTGAAGAGTCGGTTTGATGCTCGTGGGAAAGGCCTTTAGTCGTTCAAGTCGTTGGAAGAGGAAAGGAAGGGCTCTCTGACCCTCGTCTAGCCCGGCTTATATGGACGAGAGGATCATTCCAGATGACAGCATGACCTCGTATGCACACGTTCGACGGAGTAAGAAGGCATCAGTGCGGACATGTGATGCTTCCGTGCGGCCGCTAGACCTGCCCGTCAGCCTTTCCGAGCCGAACCAAATTGTCGGCTTGCAAGAGACGCCAAAAATGGCAGCCTGCTCCTCGTGTTCAGTCAAGGCCCGCGGTAAATCCATGGCCAACACGCAGCTGGCTGTACGTCACAACCAAGCCACTAGCTGGGTGAGCATCGTTGTTGTACCTTCCCACTACGGCGAACTCCCTTCAGCTTGAACCGTCTCATGAGGTCTGCACGAGACCATTGAAGCTGGGGCCGCGCGATCCGCATGTCAATCCGCGGCGTGGTCGACAGCTGACAATGACTTGGTCCGTGAACAAGGTCGAAGCGGCTGTAACCATCAAGTCTTCAAGGCGCTTTCGCCGTTCTCTGGGAGCACAAAAGGCTCCAACGGAAACCGAAGTCGGCAACGTGCATCGAAGCCGAATGTGAGTTGCATGCTGCCTTCTTATCGACAGAAGGCTCGCTCGCCTAGATTGGCTAATCACCAAACAATTTTCCACACTTGTTAGGTTGCGCTGCTGACTGCCTCCACCTGCAGCTTCTCCTGCGCGACGGCGAAAAAAAGTGACATGCCAAGCAGCACGGACCGCTGCGCTGGGTCCAAAAAACAAAAAACAAGAAGCGCGGCGTGCATACTCCAACTACGCCCTCGGACCCTCGGGAGGCGAGAGGAGCCTTGACCATCGACTTCCATCTCGCCAGCTTGCCATGGCTCTGCAAGCGAGACAGACGGCCTCATCATGAACATAGGGTGTACCGCCGCGTCACCCTCCGCTGGGGGCGCCAGCGTGGTCACCACGCCGCCACTCGGAAACGCGGTTTCAACAGCGGCGCATTACCGGCTAGGAAGGAGAAGCCGGAGGAGCAGTAGCAGCGGGGCGAGCTCGAGTAGCAGCTGTGGCAATGGCGCCACAGCAGCTACACCCAGCCATGGCGTAAACGCAAGCAGGAAGAGACGGCGTCACAGTACACTTTCGAGCGGCATCGCGTCCGGATCGGAGGAAGAGGGCGAACGCGCTCCCCCCACCTTTCGACTACGACTCGGCAGCTACGTCTCGGACTTTAGACTGACGAGAACACGGAGTCATTCGCCGAGCTCGCCGCTCTATCAGGCAACGCCTGCATCGCCAACGGCTTCCACAAGACAGAGCCATCCCTTGCGCATCCAAACCACGGCTCTCCCGGACACGGCGTCGGCGCAGCAGCAAAATGAACCGTCTCGTGTCCCTCCAGTAGCATGGGCGATACCCTCACCGACACTCGTGTCATCCGCATCAGCTGCATTGCAAGATGAGCGTGATGTCGAGATGGACCTCGACGTCCAGTCCACTTTCCAGGCCATGCAGGTCGATTCGCCCATCGCCTCGCCGTCAGCGACAACCAATGACAGCGCCCGCACCTCCTTCTTCCCATCGCAAGCCAGCGCAATTGCCCCATTCCAGCCGCAAGCGCGATCAAGCCTCAGTCCAATCCCCGCGAGCCTGCTTTCGCCGTTCAGCACCGACACTCGATACCCGCGATCGCCATCGCCTCTCTCGCCACCGTCCTCCGCATCGCTACCGTCGATGTCACTCATCGCCCACGCGTCCATCACGACCGTCTCTCCTGGCGTCTTTCCTTCCTCCGCGCTGCTCGCATCGCGCAGAACCTCAAGACAGCCGTCCAGCATCGCCCCGCAACAGCATACGCCCGCATCGCCCTCCCCTCTCGCACGCACCATCTCGTTCCCCGCTCCCGCATCTGCATCGTTCCAAGATACCCAGCCCGTCCCACATCAATACCCGACGCTTGCATCCCCTTTCGTCCCGCATCTCAATCATTCGTCGTCGCTCGAGCAAGAGTCTCCGACAAGGTCACGGTCGAATTCGACGCCTTCGTCGCCCGTCATTGAAGCGGCGGCGGGGGTCCCACCGAGCCCGGTGCGTCGTCATTCCGACGGTCGACCTTCACCGCTCCGACTCCGTGCGCCGCTGTAACGTCTCGTCAATTCACGCTTCTGTTTTCGTCTCTGTGCACACACAAAGGTCTAATTCCTTGATTGAGAGGAGTGCGGTGTTTCAAGCTGTCTTAGCATGTCCAACCGGACCTCGTGCAATGCCGGTCCACCAAGCGACACGAGCGCAAAACAGCCCAAAGGTGATCAGGATATTCCCAAACAGCAGACTGTTCCAGCTGCCCGGTTGAGCCAGCAGCACGAACTTGTCCAGCGTGCCGGCCTTGTGCATGCCCACCAGGCCGGATCGTTTCGGTGGGCCGTTGGGGAGGAGGGCGATGGTGAGGCCGATATGCGTCCAGTCTGCTACACCTAGGACGACAATCAACCAGCGTATCAGCGTCTCCAGCGTCTGCTGATCCCGCACATAGCGTCGGAGGGCGTAGAACATGAGTGCGGAGTTGAGCATGATGAGGAGATAGCAGCTGCCCAGCTGACCTAGTGCCATGCGAGTCGCATCAGTGAGCACGCCGGCTTGGCGCAGGGAATTTTGGAGGGTAGACGCCGGGAAGAAGGCCGGAGGGATGAGCTCGTGATTGTACCGCTCCGGGAGAAGGATTGCGTACACGGCGCCCGCGAGCACAGAGAGCGGTTCGAGGATGCCGAAGAACAAGTACTGCATGGGGGAGAGGGCAAAGCGATGCGGTCAGTAAGAGGGGCAGATGAGAGTGAATGAGAAACGGGCAAAGGGAGGCTCACCCAGTGGTATGGCAGCGCTTCTGCCGCAATGGGCTTGGGAGGTGTTTTCGGCGGCATGATGGCGAGGATGTGGTGAGAAGGAAAGCTGTCGAACAGGCTCTCTCTCCGTCCATGACAGCCGCCGGGGGGGGGG